TAAACACTGTATACTCAGTGTGTTACCTCCCGAGTGAAAGTTGGAAAAAATTTGATCCTTTTTGGAGGCCGTCTTTTTTCTTTCTTTTTTTTTCTTTTTTGAAAAAAAAAAAAAAAATTAAAAAGGATCAATTTTAAACAGTGACATCATTTTGCCATCTTTGTCTGTTGCATCTAGCCCATATAAAGCTGGTATGTCATTCCTGAGTCCAAGTGGCGGCCATTTATAAAAAAAAAAAAAAGCTGGCGGCCATTTTGAAAAATAGCCCAGTCGGGAGGCCATTTTTAGAAGGAAAACCAAAACAAAAAAGGGCCTCCTTCCTTTTTTTTCGAAAAGACAGGACGCTAAACATGTTTTTTTTTATTTGGCCTAACATCCCCTCTACCATGTCTACTGTAAGGAATGTACATAGTACATGTAGTAAAATTTGTTGTGTATAACGGAACTTAGCAGAACTTCAAATGGTTAAAATGGCCACAAAACGGAATTGGGATGATTTTTCACCGATTTTGAGATTTGGGCACACTCATTGGAAAGGAAATCAACTGAATCCAATAATTTCTAATTTGTGAATCTTAATATGTTGGTAAACTTTCACCTGTTGTTTTTGTTTTTTTAACTTGGAAATTCTGTAACTTTCTGAACACAAAAATCTTACTCATACAATGTAAGTAGGGAATATTACACTTTTCAAGTGTAAATTTCTACGTGCGCACGCCGCAAAAAGTACTTTTAACATGTTTAAATTAAATTTACCTTCGATGTACAATTTTTTGTTCAATGTTTTCATGTAATTTGTGTTATACATGTAATGTGCTTATTGTGCTGTATAATCTGAATAGAAAATATAATACATAATTATAATTTCATTTACACTTTATGAATGCATGTGCTATACATGGCAAGGTTTTCAGCTTAATAGTATACATGTACATGTACCTGTTTCTAAATAACAAATCCATTTGCACCATCTACGCGATGAAAAATATGCTGAAGTTGCAATCACTAAATGACTACAAGCATTTCAGACCTGCTTCCACGAAACCCAGATAAAGTTGCACAAGTTGTTTTCGCACCAGGGGCACGTGAAGTCATTTGGGGTAGGCACTGACTTTTTTTGAGGTTTTGAAATTTTCTAAATCAGCAACTATAAATTTACAGACTCCCAAAATATGAATAAAATCCATCAAGCATGAATGTGTTTTTGGTCGATTTTAGTGACAAAAATATTACTGTGCATAGAAATTTACACAAAAAGCATTTCAATACGTGTATTTATCTCATAATTGGGTTGTCATGCGTCTATCACTTAATCCTTCACCCAGGGGTGATAGGGTCACGGAACCAACGACAATCAAAATATGTGAAAAAATTCCATCTTATAAAATAGTTTTAGCGGTACCCGCTGCTATGTACATCAGATTCGAACCGGCCAATCGATCCCGTTAGCTCGGTGGTCGAGTGGTAAGACATCTGCACTAGAAAGCAGGAGGTCATGGGTTCGAGTCCCACCCGAGTGATGTTTTCCAACTTTCACACGGGAGGTAACACACTGAGTATACAGTGTTTAAACGTCGGTGAAGGACAAAACCTAATTTGATCAAAATATATCATTTTGAAGCTGAAAACCTCAGGAAATTGAAAATGCCTGAACCTAAAAAATTACATTTGTCAACTTTGTCCGGGTTATGTTGGAGCAGGTCACATTTACAGAACATGTAGTACTACATGTAGTTCTGGTTAATACATACATGAATTAAAAATAATACATGTTGTTTCGTGCATCAAAGTACACAATAATGATAAACAAGTACACTAAAGTGTGACAAATATGTAAGTTACATGTAATAAGTTATGTAAATTCTATTGCTCTATAAGCTATTCCAATGAACTGTAGCAAAGGCATTCTTTTGACATTGTTCATTCCCATGACTGTGTCGCCCGACTTGTAACAGACTTTTCACTGGCTGAATTACAACTTCGGATAAATGTATGGCCTCTGTGTATGAGCAGCAGATGAGTGGGAAGGACACACCGGATGGGCGGGCCGTCACCGCCTTATTGTATTGTTGAACAAATTAGGACTGAGGTATGGGGACTTTCTGCTGTCCCCACAGTGTCTTCGGTCCCCATAGTACCATGGGACAAATTGTGTGTACATTTGTAGTCCCCAGAGTTGCTGACTCGAGTCATGTGACTTGGACTCGAGTCGGACTCGAGTCGCTATTTTTGTGACTTGTGACTTGACTTGTAAATACCAGCTTTGACTTGTGACTTGACTTGGACTTGCAAACAATGACTTGTGACTTGACTTGGACTTGCGAAAAATGACTTGTTACCAACCCAAGTCAGACGCTACTCGATTTTGTTAAAATTGAAGTCGCCCATCACAAGGCCCAAAAGGCCACTCAAGGTGTTTATAAATGCAGTTTATAGATGCAGCGAGAAAGTTTCATTCCAGAAAATAGACCTCAGTGACTGAATCCAGTAAAATGAATAGTTCCCACTAGTTTCAAAAGTTTTCAATAAGACTGTCACAACAAACTACAGTTTTCAATGACCAACTGTCTCTTGCTTAATGTACTGGTTGAACAAACTTTGAAAGGAACCTTTCATGAAAAGAAAGCATGCCTTTGTCAATTGCATGTAAAATACCGGATAGCTTAACCCATTGGTATAGGCGTTCAGTATACATGAAAATTGAACAATTAAGTGTTAGTATACTTTCATGTCATCTCAGCATTTATTTCTACAATGTAAAGTACATTTATTAAAGTATACAAAGGGCTAATATCCGACGGATATGTGATAAACTACTAGAATAGTAATTGCAACACATTGAAAAAGGGGAATTAAGGAGGCATGTTCAAAATAACTCGTAAGTTAACGCCAGGTTCTTTTTTAAAGCTGAACAAAATAATGTGCAACTTGACGTGTTCTTGGACAAAGATACTTGTGACTTGACTTGTGTTTAGACCAAATGACTTGTGACTTGACTTGTGACTGGACCTAATGACTTGTGACTTGACTTGTGACTGGACCTAATGACTTGTGACTTGACTTGGACTTGCAAACAATGACTTGTGACTTGACTTGGACTTGCAAAAAATGACTTGCTGCCACCTCTACTTACTAGTCCCACAACTACTGAACTAGTATGTCTGCTCATGGGGAAGACCTTTGTTTCCCTTCTTTTGTGTACCTTTGTTCATATTGAAATCTCAACTCCATAGCGTTTCCCTTATGGGGAAGATTGATTTTTAAAGATTTCCTTATAGGGTCTGTTGTTCTATTGTTTTTTCCACTCCATACGGAACCCTGTACATTTATACATGTACATGTACATAGTGGATGGCGAGTGTTTGGTGCAAAATATGCACAACTGATTCTATTCCAAGTCTGCTAGGGTTGTGCATCGGAACAGGGTATCCAGGTACCCGACTGTTGATGGTTGAAAAATGTCAACCAGGTGACATGGGAAATCAAAACAAATTTCATGTTTGTGACATTCGCGAAAGTTCCCGTTTACACCATAAAGCTGTCAAGCTCACTGTACACGCTTGTAATCTTGCTGTATTGACGCACCGGTGTGGTATTATTCTGCGGACTTTATGAACAATCTGGACAGCAACTTCCGAGATTTCAATTTTGGGTTGGGTTTCTTTAGGCCAAAAAAAAAAAGTCGCCGGTTTCTGGTATGCGCGCGGGTTGCCGTAGCCAGCGCGTCGGCAAACTGAAAAAGGTTTTTTTTCAATGAAAGATGATGTCTCAAAACCGCCAAACTCACTGGCCTGACTGGAATCCTGCTGCTGCACAATTTTAACGTGTTTTTAGATGGGGTTACGATCGAGAATAAACTTTATGTGGCCTCTCTGGACTCCCATATATTTGCACTAAGTTTAGTCGGGCACCATTTGCAGTCATCAGCCGGCATTTGAAGAAAAAAAAAAAACGGTACCAAAAAAAAAAAAGTCACGTCGCCGCACCACTTTTTGGACAAGCTCCATACCAAAAACCGGAGACTTTTTGTTTTTGGCCTTAACGGGTACCCTAGGTTTTTCAAACAGGTACCCGGTTCCTGTACTACCCATAAATGCACACCCCTAGAGTCTGCACAAACCCATTACATCTTCACATGAGCATCAGGTGCCATCAGCAATGCCTTTGAATGTCCCTACCAGTGGTCTTCCCAGACTCTCACTTTGTGACTATTGAGGGGGTACAGAACTGCACAAAGTCCATAATTTAACTCACAAATTAGGCCAAGTTCGCGCATGGACTATAGTTGACCAATGGTTAACTAACATTTGCCCGAACTCTGTCTAGTCGACGGTGGTTGACTACGCTAGTCGACTTTTTGGAACCAGCCTACTGGGGTTGGTTGCTTCGCTGGTAACCAATAGCCACGCGCATTCATAACGCTAGCAGAGAGCCAGGATCCAGAAGTTTTGCGATTTTGACCAGCGTTTGACTAGAGACGTTCGCACATTGCTATCAGTGCGCAGGCGTAAGGTACGTCACAAATCAACCACTAGTCGACTAATGGTCCTTGCCCGAACTTAGCCACAGTTGCTATTCACAGTGGGGGTGGGCTCCGTGCGCCAACAAAAGAGAGCGCGTTTTTACCACTTTTGAGAGCTCCGTGAATGGGACACACAGCGTGTGCGTACTGTACTGGTTCGCGCGTGAAGTTGGCACGACTTCCTGAATGTGCCAAAGCTATTAGCCACAGCATCTTCGTGTGAGTGTCAGGCCTCGTCGGCACGCGAATACATTCAACTTTAACTTGCAATGGTCTCCCAGACTAATCCCTGCCCCCAATAACTTTGGATCATTAAAATAAGCAGTGAGTGGACTGGGAACCAGTCTTGGTCTTCCCCAACTCTCCTTTTTTGGTCCTTGAAGGAGAACTTGTGCACGGAGCCCTTAGTGGGTGTTCATTTTAGAGAAAACAAAATAATATTAAAGCTGAAGTACAAAAACCTGAATACATGTACTACATAGTACAATCTACCTTTGTGAGTTGAACAACACAACTATATATATATATAGCACCTTTGTTGACTGGTCCCCATGTTTTTTCATACAAATACGCCTTCTGGGTTATCGCCCGAGGGTTCCGCGATGGTAAGATTGCGGGCACTGATGAGACGCCGAAACGGAAACGTGGCATACACTGTGAGTGAAAAGACACGGAAAGAAAAAAAATAGGAAATATGGACAAGGGTTCACATTAAAGAGGTTGTGGAATGCTCGAAGACATTTCCGTCATCTTTCGGGTATATTTAGCCTAAGGTGTGATGAAATAAAAACGACTATTGTTTCTGTCATAAAATGAGTACAAAAGGTACTTTTGAGAGCTGTTTTTCAAGTCCTGTCATGCCTGTTTCAACCTGAACGTGCAATTTGTGTAAAAGTCGTCGTTGCGGGCAGCAAACAAAACACAGTAAATCGTGACGTAATAAACAGGACTCCCGATGCAGAGTAGCATAAACAAGTCCTGTTTATTACGTCACGATTCACTGTGTTTTGTTTGCTGCCCGCAACGACGACTTTTACACAAATTGCACGTTCGGGTCGAAACAGGACCTGAAAAATAGCTCTCAAAAGTACCCTTTGTACTCATTTCATGACAGACACAATAGTCGTTTTTATTCATCACACCTTAGGCTACATATACCCAAAAAATGACGGAAATGTCTTCACGCATTCCACAACCTCTTTAACAGTGACCAGATCTGATTTACAACAGCCCCATTGGCAATCTTTTCAATATGGTTTTCTCCTTTCACTGACACGTTTTTAATAGAATAATTAAATCTGTGAAAATTAATTACATGAGTGAAGGGCGAACAAATTTTCATACCCAAAACAACAATTGGACCAAAAATGACTTCATACAAATTACAGATGGCGGTACCTATTGTACAAAGATTTGAAGAGGTCAGCAAAGGTCAGAAAGCTGTGTGGTCCAGTGGTATGACGTTTGCAGTAGTAAACAGGAGGTCACGGGTTCAAGTCCCACCAAAGCAAGTTTGTGAATTGTTTCTCACTTGCTCTTGGAAATCAATGAGTACACAGTGATCATACAGCTGAGGATGTCAAAGGTTACCCTAAGCTCAACAGTAACAATATCTATTTCATGTTTCGAGCAATGATGTTGCTCGAAACAGCAAGAAAAATACCCAGTAAATTTAATTGGGTACAACTAACTTACAGGGTGAGTAAAAAAAAAAAACGAAACCGAAATGTCGAGACCATTGTTTTAGTAAGTTCTGCATGTAGTACTTTCAAAATCTAGGATATGAAAGCCCAATTCATAAGCTTTCTTTTAGTACAAGAATCATTCAAATCACTCATGTACTTTTCGGAGTTTTAAACACAACCACCGTTTTACAGTTCTTTCCACGGATCACAAGAAAGGTGTGCGTTCTTTCAGCAAAACGAAAACAATTCACACACATCCCTATGTGATTTGTTTTCGTTTTGCTGAAAGAAGACTGAAATTTTTGTGATCCGTGGACAGAACCTTAAAACGGCGGTTTTGTTTAAAACTTCGTAACTTGAAAAGTACATGATTGATTTGAAAGATTCTTGTACCAACAGAAAACTTATGAATTGGGCTTTCATATCCTAGATTTTGAAAGTGCTACATGCAGAACTTCACTAAAACAATGGTCCCGACATTTGGGTATCGTTTTTTTTTACTCACCCTTTTTACTCATCAGTTATAGTTTCTGAAACGGGTTTTTGATGGGTTCTTACTTTCGGTGGGCGTACTCTCAGCACGTTGGCGCAGTGGTCTTGCCATGCTCTGGGTACTATGACCACCCGTTGACGTCAATAATGAACCCTCCTCCCCCGCTGATTTTGGCGTCTCGTTAAATCCTCTCATGTTCTCCCTGGCAAGATCATCCACCAGTCTCATCTCTTCGGCCCTCTTGTCTTCCAGACTTTGGTTCAGCCTTGCTAACTCTGACTCCGTCTTTGAGAAATTTAGAAACAGAAAACACAACAATCGTTATGAAATCACACAGGTGGCCCAATTTCATAGCACTGCTTAACAGAAAGCAGAAAAGTTGTGCTTACTATAGCAGAAAATCATACTGCTGCTTAAGCACAATTTCATGCTAATGGTTGCACGCGCACGCGCATTGAGATTACTATTGTTACGTCACTGATTTAAGCAAAGTTTTCTTTAGGGGTTAAGCGTGCTTTTGCTGTGCTTACTGCTTCAAGGTCCCTATGAAACAGATGGAGGCTCGGTAAGCACAAAGTCGGCTGTTAAGTAGCGCTATGAAATTGGGCCGGGTTAATCTTTCCAGCTTAGTCGCATGATCAGAATGTTAAACACATTTGTTCAACTATTTGCTTTGATTTCTGGGGGGAAAAAAACAGATGTACTCGGTCAAATTTGGGCTCTACATGTAAGTGCATTGGAGTGAGTCAAGGAATTTGACACGCTGTCTGCACATTAAGATGTGACAAATCCAAACTGATTGAGTTAGTTAATTTCATCCAGGCACTTCTAGTGTCTCAATTCATCATCTAATTGTCACAATTCGGACTCAGTAAACCTCACTTTCTAAAACCTCTTTTTGTCCAAATAGAATGGACGTACATGTATTAAGACTGTTATGCGTAACCAACACAGAATTTTAAGTATTGAGAATCTGTAGTTGTCAGACTTGGGAGCACTTTTGGAAACATTAACCCTAATCCTTGAGCCCTTTTTGCTAGGATTTATTCTCAATCCTCCCAAATCCTCCAAAACGGCAATGAGGTTTTTGAAAGATGGAGGAGGGTTAGGGTTAATTCTATTTACAGCAGTGTACAAATGTATGTTTGTACATGTACATGTAGGCCTACCTCTTTTGTGCTTTTTATGTACTCTTCATACTCCTGCTCTAGGAATGAAATCTCTTCTTGCAACTCGGCCAGTCTCGTTTGAGCAGCTTCATCCTCGCTGCGACGTAGCCTCTCGCGTTGCTCCAAGATCTCCCGCTCCAAGTCCGCAATCTGCCGTTGCCGTAGCAATAGCTCCTCCTCGCACGCCCGGACGCGGTCCTTGAGTCTGTTGAATTTCTCCGTGAGCCCCGAGTGCATCTGACGCTCAATTTCCAGTTCGCTCTCCCAGAACTCCAACTCGCGGAGCTCCGCTTTGTTCCTCTTGGACCGCAGTTCAAACTCCTCGATCCCCGAGTCCGAATCCTCCCGATGGGTGTCTGCCGGCGGTTCGAACCCAACCAGTGTCTGAATAATATTCTCAATGTCCACGAGGTCTTGATACTGGTGGGCTAAACGTTCCTGCTGCAAGGAAACTAATTCGCTCAGTTCCTTCTGTCTTGCCCTGTCCGTTGCCATGATTTTCTGCGACTCATAACTCGGCTGTGACGCGCTGCCGCGATACCCACTAAAAGTCTGTGATCGTCTCACACTTGCAAGTCTCTGCTGGGGGAACTCCCCTATGGATTCCGTCGGACTATCGGTCTGTTTGAGCTTCTCACTGATTTCCTTTGTCACAGAAGGCGGGCGACTATTCCCAGGTGTAGACCCCGTCTTTCGTAATAAAAAATACGAGTTTCTAGAGTTTGGACCCCATTTGGACATCACCCGTAAGGGGTTTTCGTTAGGGCGGAGGGAGCGTTCTGAATCCTGACATTTCTCGACCAAGTTGAAGCGGCCGACCTGGCCTGTTGCTTGGGCCAGCGCAAGGACAACATCCTGACATCTTGTGGCTTCGCTGACGCCGCACACAACTCGGTGCACGCCGTCAACGTATACCTTCAGTTCCACCATGATGGACAGCGCAGGCGGGGGCCTGTCCTCATGTGCAATTGCTCATCAATTCTGCAAGATACATGTAAAAACATGAGACATGTCAAATGGGCATATGGTCTAGCATAACATGTAGCAGATCTGTTAAAAATTTGGCGATCGTGAAGTGTACATGTAGGGCCCGGTTCCTACATGTATAAGGGAACAAAATCCACTTTAAAATTATTTGACCTACCAAACTAGTTGGCGACATTGTCAATAAACAGGTAGGCCTATGTCATAAATAAAGGGCAGGGTTTTGATTTTTTGAGGGAAATTTGGGGGTAAAAATGACGATGACAGCGCGGCGATGACGATGACGATCACGGAGCGATGTACCGTGAGCACGCACGGCGCGCTGAATCGCGAGGTACAAACCGCGCAGGAAAATTGTGATTTCTACCCCAAGAATCTGTTCAAAATTGCAAAATGGGTGTCATTAGAATTGAGAAAAGTCTGCTTTTGATTGTAAAGGTGATTTTTGAGCAATAAAAAATATTTTTGACTCTAATTTGATCAAAACAAAACAGGGGCCCTACACTTCATGATCGCCAAAAATTTAAACATAATTATGTACATGATGTAGGATGGGTTGCCATATTATCACGGTACTTATCACGTTTCTCGTTCGGAATATAGATTGCCCACTAACCTTCCTGAATTGTCCTCTCTTTTGTGAAGTATAACTCTTCCTTTACACAAGTTGATATAAAAAAATCCGACGGTGGTGTGGTTTATTCCATGTACGATGCCTGTGAAAATAGACATGCTCAGAGTGTGCGAACAGAGGTGGACTCCCTATTATCGGGGTATGCGGGAAGTGGTTTTTATAATGATCTCAACTTTTTTATTCACAGTTAATGTTTGACCAAAACATCCCCTGAATAAAGTCTGATGTTTTCCTAGCTCTACTGAGTGGAGCGTTGAATTACGGGTACCCCTCCATACAAACGCTCCACCGATTTGCCATACTTTGGTGACACCGTCACAGTAGCATAGTCACAAACCCACGCGAGGACAAAAAGACCCCAAAAAAACCGGTAAAAAGAATACAAATGAGAGAGACAGTTACCCTGGATTGATCTACACATTCATGACATTCCATCAGACCCCTTACATTGTTCCCAAACAGCGAAAATTTTGAAGAAATACAGCAAAATAGTCTGAAAACTTACAGCTCAATGTGTTCGCCGTGAGGCTCAATCCTTGCACCGGTTTGCCGAATGAGGGCGTCTGACGTAACGTCACCGTCGTTGCTCGATCGAAGAAAAACAAGTCGCGCTTTATCAACGACTGTTTTGTGTAATAATACGTGCTCCGATCCGCGCCGTACGACATTATGGGCTTTGAACACACGCAAGGTGGAGACGGCTGAAGCGTACACGTTCTAAATTATCAACAAATTAATAATATCAAAGAACTACTAATACTGACAAATGAAAATCCCATTGTTATTAAAATATGTTTCAGCCGTCTCCACCTTGCGTGTGTTCAAAGCCCATACTGTCGTACGGCGCTGATCGGAGCATTATACGAAACGGTCGTTGATAAAGCGCAACTTGTTTTTCTTCGATCCAGCAACGACGGTGACGTCACGTCAGACGCCCTCATCCGGCAAACCGGTGCAAGGATTGAGCCTCACGGCGAACACATTGAGCTGTAAGTTTTCAGACTATTTTGCTGTTTTTCTTCAAAATTTTCGCTGTTTGGGAACAATGTAAGGGGTCTGATGGAATGTCATGAATGTGTAGATCAATCCAGGGTAACTGTCTCTCTCATTTGTATTCTTTTTACCGGTTTTTTGGGGGTCTTTTTGTCCTCGCGTGGGTTTGTGACTATGCTACTGTGAAGCCGTCACCAAAGTATGCCAAATCGGTGGAGCGTTTGTATGGAGGGGTACCCGTAATTCAACGCTCCACTCAGTAGAGCTAGAGGAAAAGCATTTTGAGGCAGGACTGTCATGACTGTCTGACGATTTTGAAGAAGGTAGGCGCTGTTGCAAAATTTTGGAGGATTTTGGAGGATTGAGGATAGCAAAAGGGCCTGGGGGTACTACTTAGTCGTTGACGTTAGTTAGGGTCTAGGGACTAGGCGCCCTAGTTAGACAACATGAAAATTGAAATGTCCGGAAACTGGGCACCATTCACAAGACGAAATTCCCGTTCGTGTCGTGAATTAAAATATTTCCATACTTATTAGTAAACTGTGACTTACCAACATTTCCTTTCTGTGGTGTAACTTGTATGTGATCGAATTTGTTTTAAGGTAGATGAGCTAGCTGCTCTTCGTTCGTCTTCCGCAAACGAACGACATTTTGTTGTGGTTATATTAATCGATACCAATGCATTTCGAGTACACTAGAATCGGTCCTTTTTTTTTTATAGCGCCATGGTTCATAGACTGGTTCCCGCTCCTAGCCAGTTCCCATTTAAACCAATAATCCTCTGTACTAATGACGTCACACTTTGTTTACATGTGCACTTTCCTATAGTGCTCATTGGACCGGCCCCATTGATGTCCATTAGTAATGGAGATCAACGGTGGGCCCCCACTGGCTCCATAGGAAAGTGCACATGTAAACAAGGTGTGACGTCATTGTACATAGGCGTGTTCGGTTCGTTTAATAGTAAAAAGTCATTCACGCGCGCCTTGACCATTGATACTAGCGCCCATTGGCTACAAACGCTCGAGATGCGTTAACTTCCGGTTCCAATCGTGCAGAAAGTGCTGAAGGTGACGTCACACTAACGAACCGGATTGAAATAAACGCCTGAGCGCGTGCGCAGTATGATTGTTTACGCATGGATGACAGTTGATCAATCGGAGCGTGATAAATAACTATCGCCCTTTTGCCCTAACTACTTTTTTTCAAGTAGTACTATAGTACTCAAACTATGTGATCAACCACTCCAAGAATACCACTCACTTAAAATACTGGGCCTAATTACCAGTCAGATCTCAAATGGAATGAACGGGTGATAGACATTACTTCAAAAGCAATTAGCAGGCAAATGTACATGCTCCGACTTTTAAAATAGTTTGCATTGCCTTCGAAGGACCTGCTCACCATCTACATGGGGTACATCAGACCAATAATGGAAATACGCAGTCCATGGTCACCTGGACCCAGCAACGGAGTGTAACCCTGGAACAAATCCAGAAAAGAGCTTGCAGAGTCATCCTCGGGTCCGGTCCCAGTATTAGGGATATTATGAACAGTCATTAACTGATCTCAGTCTCTGCACTCTTGCTAAGAGAAGAGAGGACATCTGTTACAAATATGTGTGTAACCTACTTAAAGATGACAAGTTTAGCAGCTGGTTACCTGTGCACAGATGCAAATCACATAATAACCACTCACGAAACAGTAGCCACCTCTCTATCCCTAACTGCAGAACAAATCGGTATAAAAAAACAACCCTGTACCCTACCTTGTTAATTAGGCTATGGAACTCCCCCAAAAAAGTAAACAATTTTTTTTAGTGCCTCGTCATAAATAATTACTTTTTTTATTGACATTCGTGTCTAATGTTCTGCATGACTTTTTATAGGAATAAAAATCCTTTTTAATCCTGGGAATTTGTGTTATCCCTCCTCTTCCACCCTGTCCTCCCTTAACTTCACACAGCATTTTTATCATGTTGTGAGTTTGATGTTTTAAAACAGTAATGTAATCCTTAGTCTTTTTTGTTTGTTTGTGTAAATCCCTTTTTTTAAGCCTAGAAACTTCTCACCTAAAAACCTTTTATCATTCTTACTCATCCATTTTTATGTAATGTGATGTACATCTTTTTATCTGTGGTTTTGAAATAATTTAATTGAATTTCATGTCTAGCCTGTATATTCCAATCGTTGTTCTTGAAATGATTTAATTTTATGTGTGTTCATATTCCGTTTCTTTACCCCTCCCCTTTCATCCTCACCCCTTCTCAGTTTACCTTCCACATACCCTCTCCATTTCGTGTTTTTATACAATTTTAGTCTTTTGCTGCCCTTGTAAAGTAAAGTTTATGTTATTAAGATTGAAAACCATGGCCGGGTTATGGCCGCAACCTGGCTGGCTTGATTTGCATCAACGTTTTATCGACGTGCACAGCATGAAGTTGTAAACAAAATTATCAAGCCCAGGTTATATCTGCATCCTGGTTGTCAGTAAGTATTTCCATAAAATGGCTAGAGAGTTCTGACATCAACCTCAAAAAATAAAATCAGCTCGAAAACTATTACAATGCGCCGTGAAAATCGGCATATATTTTCCAGTATGCATAAAAAAATGGTCAGTTTTGAAGAGCGCCCCCATTTGGAAGATGAGTACAAGCACCCCCCCCCCTTGATTTTACGGAGGCAAAGTAAGTGTCCAGAGAAAAAAAACATGTCTAAATAGCTGGATACGCTACTGTTCCTTATCTATTGCCCACAATACACGGGTCCCCACAATTACATTCGAAGTCCGACCGAACGACAATGGACTGGGGACTGGGGACCGGGAACCAGTCTTAATGGTTCAATATGTTGGATGGACTAGGTATTATCCCTCGCCAGCAGGTGTTCTTTGCTGCAAAACTTTGGCAAAGCAATCATAACGTTTTGGAAATGGAAATAGTAAAATATTAACGGCACAGATCAAACATTAATACTGAATAAGGAGGGGACTAAAATGGATTATCCACTTAGGGGAATATCGATATCGACACTCATGTATTTTCGGCTTTTGAAACATTTCAAACAGTTCGATCGACTTGCCACGGTGTTTGCAATTCATCGTACTCTATCATGCGTTCGCATCAGCAATGCTTTTTAAACTTCCCGAATGATGCATTCTTCAATTGTTTCCATGCATGTCATCACGGCTCACGCTAATATTTTCGTGGCCCGCCCGCAAAGCAATATAGCTGTAGCTACGTCATGCTGACCAATACCCACCATGCTCGTGGGCATGCGCCGTTCTACCAAATATCCACCCGTTAAGAGCTTGGAGAAAATCAACCTAGTCCCCGTGATGTCGAGCACTTTGCAATATTTTGAAAGAACACCTTTGAGACCTGGGAACGAGGTTGGGAGAATTAAGCTGTCCAAGCGCTCTTGGCTATAAGGTTGGCATGGTGCGAGCAAAAGATCGCAGATCGTGACAACGTACGTACGCCTGGCAAGCCTCGGATGCGGAATCATTTTTACCAGGACGGTGGCGTGATCATGAGGGGGCTGGCAGCGCCTTCATCTCGGCCCAGCATCAGCCGAGTCACGGTGTATGTTGTGTACTGGTCATTATTGGCTTCTCTTCATCTTCATGCCGCATCGGCTGTTCCAGTGACTTCTCAGCGACTGCTTTTAAATTCGACGGCGATCAACGGTACACATAAAGGTTAGTGGCACTGCATTCGTGTGGTAAACCTTGACTAAACTGTTGTTATTTAGGAACTTTCCTCACTTTTTAGTTCTTTGACCTGGGTTCAAATCTCACTCACCCCGCGACGGGGCTGTATCATAAGTCCGACGCCTCATAGGTCCGACGCCTCATAAGTCCGAAATTTCGGACTCATGAGGCGTCGGACTTATGAAGCAAAAATCCGCCTCATTTTGTCCAACGCCTAATAAATCCGACAATGGACAAACACTGTTTTGGACTTATGAGGCGTCGGAGCTATATCGGACTTATGAGGCGTTGGAGCTATATGAGGCGTCGGACTTATGAGGCGTCGGACCTATGAGGCGGAATAAATAAATGTCATGCCTCATAAAACCGTCGCCTCATAGGTCCGACGCCTCATAGGTCCGAAATTTCGGACTTGTGAGGCGTCGGACTTATGATGAGGCGTCGGACTTATGAGCGGACCCCCGGCGACATGGGGATTGTGGGCTCATTCCCTGGCCCTGCATTGTTCCCTTAGAATATAGGCCTATCACTGCAAACAATGAGACAATTAAAATTATGGTGTTCGATATTGATATTGAACCGACATTGGAGAAAGATACTATTGGCTGTGCTGCAGTCAAGACGCGTCACGAGCCCTCACAAGTCCAAATATGGGCAAGTCCAAGTTTGGCTCAAGATAGAGAGGGGGGCGGGGGTTAGCTGTTAGGGGGATGGGGGTAACAGGCGTGCTGTCTTTGTTGTTGTTGTTGTTGTTGTTGTTGTTGTTGTTGTTATTGTTGTCATAGTCATAGATGTCATATAAGATATGCAAATGAACTGCGGCAAAGGCAATCATTTATTATCATCTCCGGTTTGTGATCGTGCCTTCTTTCCCCTGTCACATTATGCTGCCGCGTTGGAGCGAGTCTTCTTCTTCTTCTTCTTCAAAAAAAAAGCCCCGTTAATGGTGAGAATATTGTTAATGTCATGGTTACCGCTCGTTATCATACACGGCGTATATGCGTCACGAACAGTCGGCAGTTACGAAACTACGCGTTTGTGGAAATGAAAAGGCAAACATACCATGCGCTCTGCGTCCACACTGAACCAAATTGAGCAAATACCGCACTTGAACACGCTCGTAATGACAATGTAAACTTTTATCCCATCATTACATTTTTTGCTGTTCAGTGTTTTGCAGCCCCGTGCTAAAAGTCGTGTGATTAAGTCTGTCGATCTCGAGCAAAATGGCTCACCAGACCGGCGTTTATCATCAGTTTCATCGGCACGAAACGACTGAGAATAATTATTTCTATTCTCCCTGGATGGGATGCGCTATCCAGGGACGGATTACGGTGTCCCGTAGGCCCTACAGGCACCAGTGTTTCGTAGGCCCTGTCGCGCCAATTCCATGTTGATGCTAAGCAAGCCAGACCACACTGTGATATTTTCGTAGGCCCTCAATGTTTTTTCGTAACCCCGAATTTTTGTGTAGGCCCTGTGGAACAGTGCCTGTGTGTGCCTTTTGGATAATCCGGGCCTATCGCAGCTAGGTCACACCCCAACTAATAATTTATATTCTGAGTGTGGAGAGATGCAATAGGTATGAAGTGGCTTGCCTTACGACACAAATTAAGGTGGGAGTCAGGTTGGCGTACAACAGTATACTTTCCTCGCCTTCCACCGCTGTGACCCGGGTTCGAATCCCGCCTGGGCCGACATGTGAATTGGGTTTTCAGTCCCTACCTGATTCCGTGGGTTTCCCCCAAAATATTCTTCTGGGCTTTTCCTCCCACCTCTATAAAACTCTACTTCCTTCTCATTATCTCCTCTCTACAGGGTTCTTCAGGCTTGCGAGCTACAGTGCCTAGGGCGCTTTTGAGGAATCCTTGGTTTCATTACCAGAAAAAAATGATAAAAATAATAATAATAAGATGTGGCCAGTAGCGTCATTCGAACCCCTGACCTTCTGATTATGCGTCACAAACCCTAACCACTAAACCGCATTCCCCATGCAGGGAAAATAAACCGAGGCATTAACAGAAGAAAAAAAAGCATTTTCTAAAGGGCATTAATTGAAAGCACATTACAAAAGCCAGCGAATACTGGTTAAATTTAAATTTCTGTAGTTGAAACCCACATCTTGCCTGCTATTTGTTTGTTTTCCCTGTTTAGTATTGTAACGTGAATTCAGCCTGGAGCAAAAGCCATCTTTCCCTCATGTGTAACATCGATTGTTGGTATTAATTTGTAACGACATTTTGTGTCATCAACAACCAAAAGTGGGGCTCGTATGTAATAGCGCACCCAAAACGATGACAGCTTCAACAATAAATGTTCGTCGGTGTCTTTATGCCAGCGAACTCCAATATTTGTTCGGTAAAATGAAGCGAGACGGTATAACTCGTGACTCGGTCGTTGGGAAAGATCCATCATTAGGCCCACATGGGGAAAAAAAATTAGAACCGTGTAAATTGAGATCTCGGAAAACGTGACAAATGGACGGTAACGACCCCACACAAAAAAAAAATCAAGAACAGGTTGCGAAAACCTTCTTCTTGATTATGTAAATTTAAGGAAGTAGATTTGCCGTGTCTTTCGTGCATGGCATGACCGTCTCCATCAGTGTCCGGAATCTGTACCGGACAGTAGGCCTATTTGTTTTCCTCAACGAGAGCGGACAAGCCTAGTACAGCTGGTCTCAGATCGAACGAAAATCTATATTCAATAATTGCTTGAGATTAGTTATTCATTGGGAGTCTTCATGTAGTTTGGTCTACACATAAGGCTGGATTTAACCCAACATTATTTCTTTGGCGTCACAAGGTATAAGCACTGCTAGGGTCACAAGACAGTGACTCGATATAGGCTGGCTCTCTCCGGGACCAGCGAAAAGTCTGGAATATAGTACAAAAGGACTGGTACGGTAAAGTGAACTATTATTGGAGTCTTTGAAATACGTACCCTTGGTTATAATGCGCATGCGCATAGTGAAAATAATTAGGATAGTGTCAGGTCACGTGTCAGGGTTAGCGTCCATATAAGGTAAAGGAGACCAGATTTTATAGGAGTCCAAATTTCATATATGGCACAGGGAAGCAGTCTATTTTCACCCACGGTTTTACAACAGCATGCATGCATGGAAAGTTATCCAGGCATATACATCTATCTTTTACATTTTTCGTAAAGTGTCGCGATATTATATTGAAAATGCCACTCACGTGCCAAGAAAATTGATTACACATTTCCGTTTTGCCGTAAGTACCATTTCTTTTGGCGCCAGGACCCTAGGAACGTGAAAACCTGTCAGTGCTAAGAGAATGGATCAATGACTCTGACAAAATGCCCCAGCAGACTAGACATGAGGCTCAAAGTTGGTAATGAACAACCAGACAATCTTTGCTTTTGCTTTTAGTAGGGGAAAGGGTAATGTTATGCCGCATGTTATTCCGCTTGGGCGGAAAGGACCCTATTTTAAAACACGTGTCGTATATCTGTTCTGTCATATTGTATCTATAATTATTATATCCCTCAGTGGATTCGTCTGTTGTTTTGTTTCCTCTCTTGTTTGATGATGTCCTTCCGAAGACAAATATTAAGGATTTGTCATATTCTTGCTCAAGCAGCAGTGTGATAATTTAAAACCTGTAAACCCTCCCCTCCAAAACAAAATCACATAAAGCTAAATAAAGTAAAATTACATGTAGGCCCACTGTACGAACTGGGTTTAAAACTGTAACAGCATTACATCGAGTTAAATTGTAAAAAGACAATTTGAAAATCACTCTAACTCTCACTGTAAAATGATTGTTAATTTACCAAACTATTAGAACCTATGATAAAAAAATCAGTTGAAAATAACAACGAACCACTTGCTCATTTCATCCTCAAAATGAAATCTGAGGCAGATGCAGAAACCACCACATCAAACGTATGGCCGTCCTGTGTTTGAATGAAAACACTTAGTCATAACCATTGAGGTTGCAGCATTACCATGGAGTTCAATTGTTAAAAGAACATTTTACAAACACTTTAACTCTGACTGTAAAATGATTGATAATTTACCAAATTATCAGGACTTTTGATGAAGAAAATCAGTTCGAAATAACAAAGAAACACGTCTTGCTCCTTGCTTTGTGCTCAAGATGCAGAAATCACTGCGTCGAAAGTACAACCGTCTTGTGTTTGCACTGAAAACACTTAGTCATAATCGAGGAGAAATTATTTCGCCGTCGTAAATCACTATCGCCACAATTTCCAATTTCATACACGAACGCACCGTTATTAAATAAAGAACAAGATGAACGCATCCGGACCCATGTTTACTTAGTGCCCTAAATTGAAATAAATTGGCAAACATCAAAAGTACGGTAAAAGGGAGTTAATGTTCCTTGGTGTTTTAACGGGGAGGGAAAAACGCCATTAGTGCAAAGATTTGTATAGTTTGTCAGTATCAAAGAGCCATAGAAATAATTTCTGTGTACATGTTTTGCGTAGACATCCATGCCTCCAAACTGGTCGGAAACAATGTGTTGTTTTTTTATTTCGTATCTTTCAGTTTCATGAGATACTTTGTAATACCTTACACTGCAAAACAGGGTGTTCAATTCAACACTGGTGGTATCTATATATAGGACCACTGGAAATATTTTGACCAATGGTCATATATACCAACAGTGTTTAATTTACACCATAGTTTTTGCAGTGTAGGCCTAAGGTATTCCCTCTTTAAAGCGGTAAGATACTGACTGGTGTAGTTCGTGTGAACTGACTGAAAATCACTTATACAGAAACACACGGCGCTTTTAGACTAAAGTTTTCATTTCTAGCGCTCGACTACATTTTTAGCTTCCGACTGCAAGCCTTATATTACCTCTTTATGGTAGATTTCTCAGGCAATAATTCTGGCAAGAATTATATTTCCTTTGAATGATTTTAGCCGGCAGTTCGACTCGAGTATCTTGGAGTTACATCTGACTAGGCGCACTCATTATTTTGTTGCTGTGCTATCAGTTTAGGCATTACCTTCACTGTGTAACAATTATTAACCAAACAGGCAGTATGTCTGTACCCAGGTTTTCCACTCATGGACAATGTGGAATGTTCTATAAAAAAAGAAATCGAAAAAGAGAATTGAACAAAAAAGATCGCCTGGAAAATGTAAGAACTAATGCAGTGACTTAAAGATGTCATCTCACAGTGACTTTTGATGAAGAATTTTGCACTTTCCTCACCCCAATGAAATTGATTTATTCCATTATGAGGAGCCATTATTCATTTTCAGATTAGGTAAACCGACGATCGGGATAGTGCACGCATTCAATCAATCGGCTCAGTCATTAGTCAAATCTAACCCGGCAAGACGACAGGATCTCGCATCTAAGTGTTTATACCAAAAGGTTAATTATCTCCGTTTCATTGCGTCATACCATACGCAGCACTCTCGAGTATCGTATCGTCAAAAGAGACCTTTTCTTTGCCAACGCGTGGTTTGCACTTTTTGCCAACCATGGCTTGGCAAACTGGAAGGTCAACGACGCCAAAAAAAAAGGAATATAGTTGTTAATGTTTCTAAACATATCATTGGATTATTGAAAATACACAAAATGTACCAACCGTAAAACACTACCAAAGACTTAATAAGAATTCCTCTTTCTTACCTAGTTTAGGTAGTAATGAGGGTGTTCATGAATTATGGAACCTTTGGCAAAATCTGTTGCCATAATGCCAACCACGGCTGAAATTTAAGCCCATGTGGCAGCCCACTCAAAATGGCGCTCACTTTTTAGAAACAAAAGAAAGGTCTATCAAAAATGTAACAACGAAAGGTCAACCTGTGGTAATAAACCAGCTCGTTAAAAATGCAAATCTATGCGGGCATGCGCACAAGCAATCATCGAAGTGAAAGAGCACAAGCAGTACGGTTGTACGCACGGAGCAACGATTACAAAATTGTGTTTTAATGTTGAAAAATCTCCAGAATCAACAACTTTAACATTATACAGCCAACACGGGTGCCTGTACTCTTTGCAGTCGATGCTTGCTTCTGCGCAAGTGAATTTATTACAGTGCTGATCGATGGTATTTGAACAACTCTCTAGCACTGGCTTACGCCTGTATTAGCTCGAAAAGTCGAAGTCTACAACACCTTACATATTAATTTGATACCACTAGCGGGATTTGCGCGGCAGCCGTTAGCTGGGTGGAGTCATATACTGATGTTTACTTTCACCTCCATGGCCATGTTGACCCAAAGTGCAGGCGTGGTAAGCCTTGGTGAAGTAATTTTGCCATAATTTGTCATCATCAACGTTATGTGATGCGTAATAGCGATACGTTTTGAAGTGTTCTAATAGAGGTAATGTTGTAACATGTAACTGTTCAAAGTCTGAAAGAAACAAATTTGCAAACAAACAAAAACACCGTTTTTGTTCATGTGCCAACCGTGACTTCAGAGGACAGTGAAATCAAAGCATAGGCCTTACCATTTTAAGGCCTTTTACACACAAAAAATGCTCCTAACGTTAACCGTTATCTACTATATTATTTACCACTATCAGCTTTACAACTAGAGGTTGCAATGGGAGTGTAACATTAAAACTAGGCCTATTTCCCGGATATTTTTCAACTTAATTTTTCCCCGTTAGGTCACCTGATGAAATGCAAAAATCCATTTCTGTTTTGTGTCTTTCTACACGTTCCAATCTCATTGCTTAGTCGCGATACGTACACAATGAGTGTACAAACAAACATCGCACGTTCGTGATTAACACGAGTTCATCCAAAGGTTGATCTGGATTGAAAAAAAAGGGAAGTAATCGGGAGATTTTTTTGCTGCCATAGCAGAAAGTGCAAGTAAAATCCAGGTACGGTCATAAATATTTTGAATTTCTAGGGTCCGGTGGCCGAGCGTTCATCCAAAGGTGGAATTCAGTGCGGAGAAACAAAACGTTCGAGCTTTTTTGATATTTTTTCCCCCAATATATTGAGAACGCTATACAGGAGTATACATATAGCGATTCGAAGGAATCACCAAATTGGCGGTGACTTCACAACCTCTTTACGTTTCTCGGTGTGCTGGAGTAAAATTCGAAAACGGCTGGTAGATTATATTAAGTTATTAACCATTTCTGACAATGAAACCAAGGATTCCTCAACAGCGGTCAAGGCACTGTAGCTCGCAAGCTTGAAGAAACCTGTAGAGAGAAGACAATGAGAAAACAATTACAGTTTTAGAGGTGGAGGAAAAGCCCAGACAAATATGCTTGGAAAAAAACATGTAAAAAAAAAAAAAATGTTGGCATAGGCGGCATTCGAATTCACAGCGGTGGAAGGCGAGGAAAGTACCGATACGCAAACCTGACTCCCCAAATTCTGAGAAATGTGTTCTTTGAAGACTTAGAAACATTGTTGCAGAGTTATATTTAGAAAAACCACTAAAGAAGGCACGTAGGCCATGTACTAGTAATAAATCGTATACTACTCTATGACTTTCCACGCTGTTCCTTTCCCAATCCGAAGTAAAGTTATATAAGCATGTTATCAATATCAGTCTTTTTGCTTTTAGCCTGTCTCTATTCGTTAGCGAGAACATTCACAACAATGTATACGAAAGATAATTGTAAGCCATTAAGGGAAGGGATTTGATCAGGCAACATGAGAGAGAATTTTTTATGGGAGTGAAACATTCTTGTTTTTCGTTTTCAACGCCAGAAAGGAATTAATTTGGCAACTCCTAAAATAAAATGTTGAACACGATACCAAGGACGGCAACAAGACACGATCGCTAATGCAAGTTGCAATGACAACACACATCAATAACATTCCGAAAAGGTATAGTGTTACATAGATGAGCGAACGGAAGCTTCTCACTATAAATAACTATGGGTTTAAATCCGTGGTTGCTTTTGCTTTGAAATGGATTGGTTTTAAGGGTATGATGGATTTTGACAGGTGCATTGGCATTCTCAAAAAGTGCTTCTGGCTATAAATAATTATCGGATTGTTCTTAAATCCGTGGTTCACGAGGCTTTTGCTTTGAAATGGATTGGTTGTAAGGATTTGTATGATGAATTTTGCCAGGTGCATTGGCAGTGCCAAAAAGTACTTCTCACTGTAAATAATTATGGGATTCTTCTTAAATCCGTGGTTGCTTTCGCTTTGAAATGGATTTGGTTTTAAGGATTTGGATGATGAATGTTGATATGTGCATTGACAGTGTCATATTGCATGGAGGGATACAATGGGCCTGAATGTACAAACGACATGGACTGGCTGATCTTGTAAAAACAATACGACTGTATTTACAGGCTGATTCACCGAAACAGTCATACTCTTATGCATGGGTTAACCGTGCACAACTGAAATTAGTCAACAGAATCATGTCACTGAGAAAATCCACTTACATCGAGTCGCATCGAAATTAGAAATAAAGCTAACACGATTGTTGTGTGTTTTTCATAAGCCCTAGAAATTTCATAAGCTCGTCATTTCTCGATCTGTTCTAACCTTCTTGTTATAAGAAGTGTAAGCCAGCATATTCTGGGTAGGCCTAGTTCAATTAAAAATTGCTTTTTACTTGAAGCCTTTATGGTTCCCATGATCTTTTGTTCCCGTCTCTAATCAAACAAAGAATTAACGAGAAAATATATTTTCTTTCTTTGAATCTGAACAAACTAAAACGCCCACAGCACTTTCTTTATTTTTTCCCCTTCAGAGACCAATTCACTGAGATGATTTATCGCGATAGCTTGCAACTCATGGTCGTTATCATTTCGAGTGGAGATTGAACAAAGTTCAAGACGTGGCAATCCATAATGAATATAATATGCGACTGGTCAGGTCCCTAGCAACACCTGTTGGGCTGCCCGTCGTAACGGTCATGTTCCCTGCCTCACTCATAATCTTCTGATTCGTGTGCCTGTCTGTCTATTATTCCATCATTCCCATTCTGTACCTCGTACGTTCTCGGATGATGATGATGATGATGATGGGTTTAACAGCCTTGAGTGGGCAAAAAAAAAAGGAAATTGCCCCTTATGTATCTGATCGCTCATACCCTTAAATCCCGGAATGGCCTACAACCGAGGGTTTTACTTGCACATGAAGAAAACACTTAAGCCCAAGAGCACACCATCCATCGTGTCGGCAAAGTAAAAGGGAACACTAATTAAAAATGTCCCCGTACACAAGGGTGATGGATTCCAATCGCGCTAATTTGTTCGAGCAAAAGTTTGATGAAATTAAACTTGGTCATTGTGTTTCTTCTATCCCTACTTAAGGAAATGGGAGTAAAACTTCGCTGAAAAGTCTAGCTCTATTCAAACAAAGTTGAATTGATTAATGGATTATTTAATTAATAGAACTCCTCCTCCTCCTCATCCTCTTCCACCTCATCTTCCCTTCCTCTTCCTTCGCTTCCTCCTGCTCCTCTTTCTCTTCCTCCTCCACCTCCCTCTCCTTCTCCCCTCCTCCTCTAGTTCCTTTCATTGGCTCTGTCCCGGGCTGCCTCGAGGATCTCCTAAGATGTAATAGTTACACCTTTGGAAATCAGTCTAGCCGTGTTTGTAGGCCTACTGGGTACAACCATGCAAGTATAATTCGTCTGCCTTTCCTATGGTTCCCATGCTCAGGTTGAGGACATATAGCTTGACCAGATAGTCTTTTGGTTTCCTCTGGTGATGGATTAATTAATTAATAAAGCAGCGTTGAAATTCACTCCTTCTTCACACGAAGGCCTACTGTGCTGATCACGCAGTGTCTTTATCATTGGCTCGTACTCCAATTCAGCATAAAAAAAAGGTTCGGCAACGTATGGAAACACACCGAATGAAATACGAAAGTGGGCCAATTATTATGTGAACATTATTAGTTTGTAGCATTCCGAACCCTAATCATTATCGACGCCCATCATTCATCTTTCTCATGGAATTGCCAAATAGTACAAAACACCTTCCTTGAATATTTGGTACTGACTATATATCTCTGTTCCAAAAGACTTGTTAAACAATCCCAGGATATTTTTTTCTATTGCCTTGTATGCAACTTACAAGCACTTTCGCCGAGTACAGTGTAAGCACGAGTGTCCACCCGTCTTATTTTTCTTAGCATTTAGGGCATTATATCTCAAGATCTCGCGAGTGTTTATACATCGCAGCATTTAAAATAAAAGCACTGTGGGTCTGCTGCTCCGCGGTTTTAGATTGTTGACGCCGTCACGAAAAATAAAAAGGCATCTTGGGCCGTTTTAGCGTTTCAACAGATAGCAGCCACTTACCAAGCGAAACCCTTAAGTGCCCCCTCCTGTGGTAGATTAGACACGATCCTATTACATCTTGCCTTGCTCCGGTTGCAACGATAAACTCAGAACATGTCACCGTGAAGCGAGTCACGAAGAAGTGAGATCATGTTTCTTGTTATATTGGTCCGGGTAATAATTTGTCCTACTTTGTAAACGCAGAATAGGGTTCAGTACCGACAGAAATTTAAAGGTCTGTGCACAAGACGCCAATCCCATTATGTTATCTTTGCGAACTGGGACAGGCACGCCATGATGTTTACTCGCCACTTACGGAGCAATTCTATCATGACCTTAGGAAGAACTTACCTGCTGGGATTTTTGAGTTCTTCAACTGGGCTTGTCTAGAACGAAGCAAGTTAGATCAGTTAGTGGCGTCAAATTATTGGCCTTACTCACGAATTCCCTACAGGCTTGATGAGTAATTAGCCTTGGGTTAAAAAGAGGGGGAAAAGAGCATAACGCCGGATGGGTGTGAGAAATAGAAACCCATTGCCCAAGCGCTATTTGATATTGAGCAACTGCCATCGTAATGATCCATGAATTTTTTGTTTCGTCCACTTTGCTATCTAGATAGTTTGACAAATGTCACCCATGGGGGCGCTCTCCACAGGTTGTGTATTGCGTGTGCCCCGACGCCAGTTTGCCCGTGCGATGAAGAGTGCCCGTTTTCAAACGGCTGTTGTTACGACTACGCCGAGTTTTGCGAGACAGCCGAAGATGACAACTTTGAAGAACACCCAAGTGTCGAGACACTTGATGAAAATCTGAAGGTAAACAAACAGGCCATTTTTATTGTAACGACTCCATTCTGTGTACAATGAGTAGTCTCCGGCAAGTACCGCGGAAAAAAAGGACTTCTATATCTTAAGCAGGAGTTGAAAATAAAATGGTAAAATGAAGGGCCCACTTTTTGAATGATAACATAAACTTACGTATAAACTTAATATTCATGACTTTTTGCTGCCGCCGAAAAGCAACCGATACAGCGCCCTCATTCGCTTGAAAAAAAATACCATGGCTTTAAAATGTTCATGTTTTCTTTGAGGTATACTGTTAAAAAGCTGTTGATGCGCGGTTTTTTCTTTTTAAATTTGGTTTTTTTTAATTCTAGTGTTTTATTGGCATAAATTAAAATTTACAAAAAATCCCTATTTCGTTTATAAATGACGGAATGGGGCAAGCTTTCAAGCTAGACATGACTAAACTATGCATATGCACACACAAACTATAAATGGGTTCCATTCAAAAAAGGTAATACTGGCCGCGATCATAGAGTTTGTGTGTAATAATCATGTAAATGAGTAGAGGCAACATAATATGCGCTATCGCTGTCATTGGGTAATAGTAACTATGTAAATTAGTAGAAAAAATACGCTATCGCTGCCATTGATTTGTATTGCATTCCAATGTGTCACTGTTTATTTTACTTACTCAGAGTGAGCAGTTCAGCTGTTATGGGGTCAAAGGTGAAAGACATGGATACCTCCTCGTCGATACCTGCAGCAAAGACTACAACGATACCTACGCCTCGGGAAAGTGCCGTAGTGAGGAGAATGGTTCCTTCCACTCAATCTCCCACGTGACTGTTTCGAGTTTGGCAAGTGGTGTTTCGTACAGAAACATCTACTGCGCGGTGTGTAACAACGAGACGGTGAAAGATCTCCGGGCGTGGCCAGTGCAAATGATGTGCAACACGGAAGAGGCTTATGAAGCTTCTCTGGTGAAGCTTCGTAACTCGAACAGAGACGTTGCGGGCCGTGCTCTGAAGGACCTGAACTGTAGTGTAGATGTCCGGCTACCAGTTGCTACCGAGGGAGTTGATTGGAGGACGCCGGTGCGTCGTGTAAGCGCACGACGCTCTGTGACTCGTTGTCACACGGGATATTCTATTGTGACACAACTAAGCAAAACGCAGAGTTCCATCCCTCCCATCTCAATCCTCTTGGATTTCGGATCTAGCAGCCACGTGAGGATAGTCCGGGAGGAAACAGTCGTCGCCGAGGAGCAAGTGGCCTGCCCGGCAGGTCATGTTTTTGACCCCTTCGCGTCGAGATGCCGACGGCTGTTTTGTGAGGATGGATACGTCTTGACCGACGGTCGTTGCGTTTTCGTGCCGATACAGGGAAGTGTCGGGGAACTGGACGTAAAGATACATGTTACCCGCACTATATATGAAAATAATACAGGACCTGACTGTTCACAACGCCAAGACGAAACCAGCTTCTGCCTTGCAAGTTTCTTCGGAATAGATCTCAATGACGTCACGCTACACACGACGAAACATCCAGAAACCGGTATGAAGACTGGTGTGTGTTCGTATATTTTCCTCTTAGACTCCAGCGAAAAAAGCTTTCAGACACTATGGACCCACTTGCTCTCGTCTTGGAGTCCAACTGAAAACTTTGGTAAGTGTCGCAACTCGGGAGTTTGGTTCACTGAGATTGAGAGAAAGGCAAACGACACCGATACTCCATGTAAAACAAGTCTGCTAAATGCTACCGACTATTCGATACAGCGAAACAATTCCACCGGTATTGTCAACACGTACTCATCTGAGCAGGTGGCAATACATGCGACCTTTAACACCGAAGGGATGAACTTCAGCAGAGTGGTAGAACTTGAAATCTGCTATGAAGTAACATTCACCTGCCCCCTCATTTATCTAAACAGGAGTTTGTTCCGAGAGGCAGATGGGGCTAGCGGGTCGGTGGTGTACATTCCGACCGGACGGGTGTTCACGGAGCTGGAGTACCAAGACACGGGAGACGGCAGGTTGGAGCTCTGCTCGTTCCTGGAGAGTAACGGGACTCGCAACGGAACCATCACCACCAGATTCTTCGGGTACTCCGATACGCAAGCCATGTTGAGCTTGGTAGGTAACGTGGTGTCGATGGTTGCTGGAGGAGCGACCTTCTTGACGTACTTTGTCTTTGATGTCCTGCGCAACCACGCCACATGTTGCATCATGAACCTAGTGGCGTCCTTATTCATGGCACAGCTCTTGCTTCTCTTGACGGGGTCAGCCATTGCCAACCCAGCTGGCTGCACTATGGTGGCAGCTCTGAGTCACTACTTCTGGCTGGTCAATGTTTTCTGGACCGGCATCCTGGCTTACGATCTGAACAGGACCTTCGCCGGTAAATCATGCATCGTTGGCCGGGGCTGTGACCGCGGTCACTACCGCCCAAGGCTTCGCTCCTACGCGCTGCTGACCTGGGGAGGGGGTCTCCTAATCGTAGTCCCATGCCTGGTGATCTATCTATGCGATTGCACGGAGCTTCCAATATGGTACGGAAACAGTGAGGTTTGCTGGATCGGCAACGGCCAGTCCATCTTAGTGGTGTTCGCCGCCCCCTTGGCTTGCATCTTACTGACAAACATTTTCCTCTTCATGAGGACTGTGTGGAGTATTCGAAAAACGAACAAGGAGACGCAGCACAACGTTCAGAAAAACGTGACCAAAGTGAGAAGGGCGAGGGAGGAACTTATCATATATGTTAAGGTAAACATTTGGTAATGGAATACCATTTTGCTTTCAATTGATTTGATATATATCCTGGATGCGAGCCCAAAGGTGTTTATGCTGTCGAGACAGAGTGCATTAACGTAACTACGATCTGGGTTAGGGTTCGAATCCCACCGAAGCCGACATGTGAGTTTGGTTTGCTCTCTCACATTGATCATGTCTGCGTCGTTTTCTTGTCGGTGTCTCTTCCAGTGTTGTAGTCAAGGTGCATGCGGTAGATCACATGGCAACACAGGCCATTTCCAAGTCAATCATACTTTATCCCATCCCAAGTCAACTCACAAGCTAATCAAATTATTGTTACAATGGCATTCCTTTGTATGCCTCATGCTCATCCAACTTGCAAATTGACGTTTTAGTCGTGAACGGACTGGTAATGTACCGGTGTTCCATCACTAGTACATCAGTCTCGACCACAACACTACTTCTTTAGACCTCGGAGATACAGTGCCAGTGCCTTCCGGTTCCTGGCTTCAATTTAAAAAAGAAAACAAAAGACACCAATTAAAAGATATCTTTCTCTTTCACAGATATCCACACTGATGGGTTTCACGTGGATCTTCGGCTTTGCTGCCGCCATGAGCGACCTTGGAGGCCTTTGGTATGTCTTCATCATCCTGAACACCCTCCAGGGCCTGCTGATATTCCTTTCCTTCACCTGTAAGCAGAGGGTCCGGATCTTGTGGATGGAGGCCTTCTGTGGGGAATCCTCTCGAAAGAGGAGCTACAGCCTCGGCGTAGCTTCGTCCAGTGCCTCAGCGACGCGCATTACCAGGGTGTAAAGGGCTCAGTCCTCCCGCAAGTGTTGCAGAGAGACGATATAGAGTTGACGGCTTAGTTCAAACTACGTGTAGTAATAATTATGATAATGTATACTTATGTAGCGCTTTTAACTAAGAACAAAGTGCTTTACGTTATTATTACCCCTGGTCATCGGGCCAAGAAACATTCCAAAGACTATCTCAGCTCGCTTGGGAGTATACAGATCGATGCTGCAATTTCGGCACAAAGCAGCTAAAATTATCATTCGCAATACCCATCTCTGCACTCACAGGTACCCATTTACTCTTGGGTCCGGAGAACTAATGAAAGACAAAGTGTCTTGCCTAAGAACACACGCACCACAACAGCAAGTACCCGCAATTAGTCTATGGGGTCAGTGCTCCGGACCACGAGGCCACGGCGCTCCACACATTTGCTACAAACTTTAGTCATTCCTTTCATCATGAGAAAAAAAGTTGGATTTTTAACCTGTAAATGGCACCATGCAGTGTTTACTGCAGGATCAATTCATCATTACATCATTAATTCTGGTTGCATCACTGATGACGCTTTTAATTATTTTGTTTTCCTTTTTTTTTTAGATCTGTGCGTCGGTATGAAAATTCTCTTAAATATTGAAATATTCTTATTTCTCTGCTCTTCTTTTCTACAATCTGAAATTACTTTAACCTTTGCCTGACATTCTGGTCTTGTGTTATATCCATCAAAATCCTTTACCTTAAAGGGGCAGTAGGTCCTGAAATCCCCGAAAATTTCAAACATCTGGTTGTCTTACCGTTCCCGACATGACATGACGGAGTACGAATACGTCTTTCGTGTCGTTCTCAGTGTACGCTATACACGTTGTGTGTCTCGGGAACAGCGCGCGGTGACCAATCACCAATGCAAAAATTGGTGGTTTCTTCCACGTCCGCAAAAGGCGAACACTTTACGCGTACGAATGAAATCACAACTAGCATCCAAACAGCTCGAATTTATGGTGTCGCAAAAGTGGACCCCGAAATTCGTTCTCGCACGCATAAAACAGGAATAACACAAAAACGCCCAGTTTTGAAAGGATAGTTGTGTGGATGTTTATGTCCTACTTTTTAATGTTATTTCCGATTATTTATCATCATCTCGTTCAAAGCGCGTTTTGTAGCCCAATTGGGCTGTTCCAGGACCAAGTATCCCTTTAATGTACAGAGTATTTGCATACAATCCAGGTAATATCAGGGCAATGTCTGTATTATTTGTAGTAGATTCACGAATCACGTACCGTGTCTTGGGGTCACTGCAGTTACAATTGAACTACCTTTGTACATGTACATGTATTATAATCAAAAGGCTTCAGGGTCAAATGTTCATGACCTACAAATACAACTATTTGTTCACATCGCACGATTAAAATCAATGCACAACAATCCGTCTATGGGCTATTGATAAAAAGTTCGAGCAAGGGTCTTTGGTTAACTACAGCGGTTGATTCGTAACGCAATGGCCCATGCGCGATACAATTGCAAATGGCGAATCATGACGATGGCCCTAAGTCCAACGTCATCATGAAACCTCCGTCTCCTGGTTCCCTGTTGTACATTAGGATAAGCGCTGCTATAAACCAGCGACGCTGGTCCCAAACAGTGGTCTAGACCACAGAGCGTCCAACGCATCGACTAGCGTGCGTTCGATAGTTAGACGAACTAGAGTTAAGCAGTTCTTGATTGACCGAACGTGCTCCAGTCTGTACTGCGGCGCGACGGCTGCTGACGAGAAGCAAAATGGCCTCTGATAGCGCGTCTCGAGATCCGATCCTGAAGCAACTCCGGAGGGTTGACGATGAAGGTTGGTTCGTCTTGGAGTTTGATAACGGCTACACGGGGAGGTACCCGTACGTCTGGATGCGTGACAACTGCCGCTGCTCCGCTTGCTACCACCCATCCTCCTGGCAGCGAACTTCGCATGTCGCCAACCTGGATCCCGAGGTACTAGCGAGCCGCGAAGAGATCCGAGCTGACGGAGCGGTCTTGGCCGTCGACTGGTCCGACGGTCACCGCAGCGAGTTCCAAGCCGAGTGGCTCAACCGCCAGCGATTCGCCGAGTCCGTAACGGACCACGTGGAGGGGCAGGAGCTGCAGACATGGGGAGCCGAGATGAGCAGCGAGGTGGCCCGGTTCGACTTCCAGCGGCTCCTGGTGGATGAGGTGGAGCGTTACAAGTGGCTGAGCCAGCTCTTCACCAAGGGGATTGCTTTGGTCCAGGGGGCACCCTGTCAAGTGGGTACCATTGGGCAACTGGCCAAATCGGTCGCCTACTTGAGAACCACTTGCTATGGGTAGGTCCACGCAGCTGCCTTTTATTGCCGCAGTCTGGTTATTAAACGAATTACTTTTCGTACACAGGAACACAATTTTCATCTAATCTACAACGTACACTCCGCGTTGTCAAAATACAATTTGTGTCCGTATTACCAATATTAAAATGGTGACATTTTTGCGATTTCTTTTATCCCGTCATATGGAACATCAAGTTGAATGTGCAGTTTTTAATCTGCAGCATATTATAATTACATTGTGATTCCCTTATCATGCATGTCCTATCAAACGGCAATGGTTGAACGAATTAGTAATCATTTTCTCCAGAACGAACTTTCATCCCAAGTCTTTGTCACGTACTGCTACGCTAGCATGCAACAGAGGCACAAACAGCTGATACTCTTATCATATAATTGCCCGTTTCATGTCAAAATGTAAACAAACTAGCATCGCCCACCTACAATATTAGTCTCTGGATATGTTAAGTTTCTGAGCAAATTCGGCGATTAATTATGCAAAACAATACTGCATCTTGGCCTTGAGATTCTGAGCATTCAGCGGCGCCTTCCAACTGGCCTTCGGTAACCCGTTGTTGTATTACAAAAACATGGCATCCAAGTTGACCAATCATCAGCTTATTGCACATTTCTGATCGAAGTGACGCCACAGTTTCTGAAGTCGACACCAATTATATCTGGCGCGCGGGGTTGCATATAATTTGCATAATTATGAGACGTTCGAGCGTGGCTCTGCGCGCGCACGTGCATGTCTGATCCTTAGACAAACAAGATACGTCTCGACCCAAAATACATGCCTCAGATAGCTATGCCGTATAATCAGACTAAACAAAATACACTGAACAGTTCTTGTACACTATTGAGAGAACAGTATCTTTCTTTAACATAAGCACCACGATTGATATTCTTCTTCCTAATTTTCTGAATTTCAAAACCGCCTTTAATTTCCAGATTTCCGTTTTCCATTTTTTCTGCATCGAGTGTAACATTATTTTGCTGCGTTCCAACAATGTTTGATTGTTTATAGCGATCGCACCTTTAATGTTTAATATCAAGTGGCTGTATGGAATCACTCCATGACAACATGTAATTTGAGCCACCCGACCCTCACAACCAGCCCATTCACCCCTGATTAACCTCTGGCATGTCTGGGGTATCTCTCAGGCCCCAAACAGCCGTTAAAACCACATACTTAACCCCATGTGACATTCCATTTTGGTCACAGGGGTACGTGATCGAAACAATCCCAATGTATATAGTGCATTAATTTGTACACAAGCCTATGTAAATGTGCACAAGCACACAGGGTTTTCCCGCCAATTTTCAACCCCTCCAGTAGGATCACAAGACTGACACCCCCTCTGGTGGATGTACCTTGGTCCATACTAGGATCTAGTGATAGATGGCCCCGGCTGGTGGGTATACCGCGTGGCCAGGACAATATAAAACATAAAAATGTGGATAGTCGTTATTCCCAGGTGAATCCTGCTAATTTATTAATTAATTCACTGCGCGTGTGCAGATCAGTTTATCTTATCAGGTGCGCGTACCTCGTATTCACATACGAAAGAAACTGTTTCTGTGTGAGTTCAAAGTGTGTGAATGAATAAGCCTATGTTACTGATGACGTCACAATTTGTTTACGTGTACATGCAAACAAAGTGCGACGTCATCAGTACGGAGGCTTATTGGTAAACGTCACCTATATTGTTTTGACTAAAAACAGAAACTGAAAAAACAAAGAAACCTAGTCAACTTTCTTGTAAAATTATCCGCACTTTGACAGGGACACTTTCCAAGTCTTCAGCAAACCCAGTGCCAGCAGTATTGCCTTCACGCCCAAGTCGCTTGGACTCCACATTGACCTGCTGTTTTATGAATACTGTCCAGGTGTAAGTACATGTCACATTCAGTGGGTTGTAAAGGGCTATCAATGTTGGAATCTAAAACCCGACCTTTTGAAAGTAGTGTAGTGTAGGCGGGGCTAATATGTGGAGTGTCCAATCACACCTTGGTAAATCCTGACGTCAACAAATCATTTGCAGCTATTCGCCCTTTGCGGACGTGTCAGAAACCACATTTTTTGTGCATTGGTGTTGTGTGTAATGTGAGACATGTGTATTATGTACAGTACATGTCCCGCTAGTACCGCTCGCCTAGCTACTATATGCAAGTTTCCACGCAACGATCGACTAATAAATAATAAGAAAACGAATTTTGAGGTCAGTTTAGGCTTTTAACATACCACCCCCAAAACCTCACATGGACGATTGGACCAAGGCGTTCATCTGGGTACAAATGATTTGCTTAAACCAGTGGCTTATGAGGTCGCTATTCGCGCTGTATTTTAATGCACTGTATAGCGAGGATAATTTATGCCGCCGACCGTTAATACTGCGTACGGACAAATAATGACGAACGCATAGCCAATTCTTCGCTCGTACCCCCCGCCCTGCAAACAGGACGCTGGTAAGGGCTGATGTCATTTGAGCTCTCATTGGATAGATTTGCGTGATCTGTGACGTAGAACGCGTCACACAAACTAGCTTCCGGTGCCAGTCATGCGTAGCGTGCGCTAGCTGCATGCAAAGGTCAATCTGTACTTCCTTCACAAGATTCTTTGAAGCTCATCAGCCCTTAACAGCGCCCTGTTTGCAGGGCGGGGTACGAGCGAAAACCAAGGCTAACACGCATATGGCTTTATCAATACTTTGGGGTGATATCCCTTCCGGACTCAGATCCAGATGCTCCATTGCATCCAGCAAGCAGGGGAAGGTGGTGACAGTCAGTTCGTAGATGGCCTGAATATTGCTGAACAGCTACGCCGGGACCACCCCGCCGAGTACCAGCTACTCCGCACGCTGCAGATCGACTTCCGTGACGCCGGGGATGACTACATCAACTACCATCTCAAGACTCGACGTCCCATGATACAGTGAGCATGAGTATAGTGTTCAATTAAAAGTCTGTCTGCAGGGATAACACCATGGCAGTGGAGAATACAATGTGCAGGTTATAATAAAGCCGAGTGTCGAATTTACACCGAGTGAGGTGTTGTATTGAAATCTTGTACAGTGTTGAATAAACACAGGATGCGATGTTGAAATTAATAACGTTGTTAAATTAACAGCGTAATTTGTGATGTAAACTTATCACTAGGTGCAGTGCTAGTGTACAATTCACCACAATGTGTGGTGTATAATAAATACTTTTAATTGATACGTGTGTTAAATTAACACAATCAACATGTATTTTGGCGATTCAAAACACTGACCCACTGTGGATTATATTTTGTGAAAAAGAGGTGGAGATTAAAGATTGCATCATCAGCAGCTGTCCAAAATTATTCACATCCAGAATTAAAGATGGACGCCAATGTACTCCGAACCGGTTTGGGAAAAGCAATTTCTCCGATTCTCAATGTTGTTGTTGATGTTGTTAGTGGTGTTGTTGTTGCTGTTCTTGCTGTTCTTGCTGTTCTTGATGTGTCATGGTTGCACGAACGACAGACTATCGTTGTGCCATTACCTTATCTACTGCGTTTCATATCAGTAGGAGTTCACAGTTCAATGGAGGTGGCACAGTGTTACTTATGAAAGGACTCGTTCGCAGGATGCATGAGAGCTGGAAAGACAATTAAAAATTAAATGCAAAGACAACATTCAGTCACTGGTCGGCACGGTTAATGCATTTACGTCATCTTTTCCTCTTAGGTACGATCGTCACGGGAAGTTCCAAGCAATTAATTACAGCGATCACTGCCGCTCAACAGAGCTGAACATCCCCGTGGAAGACGTCAAGAAACTCTACAAGGCCATCAAGGTCTTCAACACGGTCATGTATCGTCCGGAAAACGTGTTCAGACACCGCCTGGCCGCTGGTAAAAATGTGCCACGGATTTTTGATAGCCCTCCGTTAGAGGCCATGATTGTGAAAAAAAGAGGGCGCTCTAACGGCTCTGGTCATGGGTGAACCAGACATAAATACAAGGCCATTGACGTACATTAACCACAGTCATGTTAATTCCAAAATAAAAGGGGTCAGTTTGCACCCTTTTCAATGTTGCTTTCTTCTCAAAACAGCATAACTATAGCACCCTCCATTGTGTCCACCATCTCAAAAATGCATATGAAGCTTCTGCCCTGGAGGCGGCGCTGCTGTCCTCATAATTTTGGGAATTTGTAGTCCGTAAACAACACTGTCAGGAGTATAAAATGAACATTAAAACACTTCTAAGAACTTTCCACTGACATTGACGTCATTGACGGATACTTGTGCCCGAAAAAATCCAAACATTTGGTGTACAACTACCTTTAGAGGACGCAGGTAACACATCGCCCCTTTTAAATGTTCTCCATTTGCAGGTGAGATCATAACTTTCAGCAACGGCCGCGTGATGCACGGCCGCAGCGCGTTCAAGCTCGTGGGCTCCCAGGCAAGACATCTGGAGGGAGGCTACTTTGATTGGGACGAAGGCAAATCGGCCATGAGACTTCTGCGAGAGAAGCTGTATGGAGAAAAGAGGCTTTAGAGGACATGATTGTCGAGTTGTGGTTCGCAAGTTCTCGCAAGCCTTCAAAAGTCCTTTGCCAAAGTCCTCGAAAGCTTACAAGTATTATCACAAGTCGTAATTGAACAAAACTCCATATTTTCTGAAAATTCTTGAAGCGTCCCCATAGGTCCCCAGAAGCTTTACAAAGTCCTTGCAAGTCCACAAGTTATCACAGAGCTATGCGTATTCTCACAAGTCCTCGTAAGTCCACATAAGCCATAACAAGTCCTCACATAATTACATGTCATCATCACATTTCCTTACAAGTCAGCACGATTTATCAATAGTTTATACCCAAGTGCTCACAAGTCCCAACAAAGACTCGATCAGAAGAGCCCACTAGTCATCATACATCTTCACCTGCCCGCAGAATTCATTTCAAGTTTTCAAACGTTCTCACGAGTTCTCAAAATTCCTTACAAGTCCTCACAAGTCCTAGCAGTTTGGATCTCGACTGAGAAATATTTCAGAAACCTGCTTTAAATGAAAAACGTCCTGCAGATAACACAGAAGCTCAACTTTGACAGACTGATTCCACATCAAGGATGTATCTTCGAGCCATATATATGACTATATTGTATCATGTTATACATGTCCTTTAATTGTTCAATTCCAGCCTTATTGCTGTGGCACCTGGTATCAAATACATCTCAATCTTTAACTCAATTAAAAAATCTCAACGACAAAAATCCCTGAATGGTCAAAACCAAACAAATATCTGATAAAAATGTATTAATTAGAGTGTTCAGTTAAACGCGTCGATTGACAAATTCTGACAGTTATTAATAAAGCACGCGCCCTTAACATTTTAAAGTGATTATTATTATATTACAAATATAAAACCAACGATATCACATAGTTGAGGTATTTAATGGTTGGTAGATTATTACACTTATATTTTCTAATTCCATTTAATCTACATTACACTACATGTAAATGCAAAAACTGTTCGATAAAACTATGATTTTTTCACATCTGGGCCTATGCTGTCAATATAAAAAGGATTTTAGTATTCATATCATACGCATAATAGTTTTATTCTTGCATTTCCCAAAATAGATTCGAATAAAAAAATATTGAAAGATATGCAGAATTATATATTATTTTTATTATATTATTTGTGCTTCAATTGGTCAAACCAGCAGACTCAGAATGTTCTCTGTTGCAGACCTGGCCGCGAATCTTTGTTTCCCAAACGACATCCGCTTCCCATCTCCTGATTGGTCCACTGCGTGTATATCTAATGCCTTGCTCTCCACCACACAAACCCAAGATAGGCTTTTCGTCTTGTGAGAAATATTCCTTCCTCACTAGTTATTTAAAAGGTAAAATGAGATGAGAAAAACGCTCACAGGGATTCGAACTCGGATCACCGGATTAGAAGTCAGGACTACTTCCAACCAGTCCACGAATCAGCCGCCAATCGTCGGTGATTTAAACCCCATTATTCTCTGTTATATAACTTTAATATCTCAAAAGCCTTGGCCATCATGAATATGCAGAACGCAGAGACAGCGCCCTCTTTTGATATTGTCGTTTGGGGAAAAAAATTCAAGACCCGGCCCGTTGGTACACGTACACAAAAATGACATCAGTGGGGCAATATAACGATCAATGACAGTGGAAATCCTTTGCCACATTTCATTTCATCCCATTTCTCAAGTTCGGATAGAAAAGACCGATCAATTACGCCACGCCCTATATGATGTTTAGACCAATCACCATGGTTAGTAAAAACGTCCCACACACACGCGCACCATAAATATTAGCGCCCTTGGATAAACACTCAATTTGCGTTAGCTTCCGGTTCCAATGGATCCGATGCATAGTGGCCAGTGGGCGTGGTTTAAACTGAACTGACGTAACACTAAAGAACCGGATTTGCATTGTGGTTTTAAAGCTACAGTCCATCATTTGCAGCTATCCAAAAAGTAACTGACGTAATTATTGTTGAAAAACATACTTGGTTGAAAGATAGTAAGTTGCTATAATTCGTCGGATCGCTGCGATGCGCGTCAGATCGCTGCGATGCGCGACATCGTGTCTCGGACGCTGAATTCAGGCACAATTCAAAACATGATTCAGCAACTTTTGATTTGAAATCGAGATCCAAGAATGCTGTTTTTCACGATATATACAGCTGAAGCTGAGCTGAAACTTCATCAGGTTAGTTGTTCAGCACCCTTATAAGCACGTTTGTTGCTTCAAACGAACAAAATGCACAAATTACAAATGATTGACTGTATCTTTAAGAAGCGCATGTATCGTGGCCAAGGTGCTCTGTGGGCGGGGCTAAATGGATGGTATTTACAATTGATGAGTTAATTACAACTCTGTCTTTTTGCACAAATTAATCAATCGGCAAAAGTATGATCAAAATAAGCAACTCGGACTTCTTTTGTTAATTTTGGTGATGGGGAAACACAACTACTTTGTCGAACCTTAAAGTCGTTTGATGCCGTACAGTTTTTCCCTCAAGACGCGCGTGCGTGAACGAACCTCATCCCAGTCGATGTAACCGCCCTCTAACAGACGACTACTGCCAGCCTGCACTTCAAAAGAGCTACGTCCATGCAACAGCCGTCGGTTGTTAAATGTGACCATCTCACCTTGAAAAATATTGAAATTAAACGGATTTATTTGAAAAATCTAGAACTGATGCATGCAATGTCAAAACTTATTTTGTGGAATATATACAATGTTCTCACACATAAGCTGTTTTTGTATGCAATTCACCTCAATTTCGGGGCAATAATTAAAGTTATTGCATGGGTGGGTTTTGGGGGGTCAGTTTTTTTTATATATTTTGGAACGTTATTGTAAGTCCATCATTATACATGTAATACTTTCATCGAGTTTTGTATTGGCTTCCTTTTAATTAGAACAAAGATAATATGAATTTAAAAAAATGCAGGTGGAAATGAAAAACTATACCTAACCCAGTGATTGACAGTTATTGGAATCCTAACAATACCTTCGGTCAAGCGATGGTGCACCAAATTCTGGGGGCGGTAGATAACTTGATTGAACAGCTTAATGGCCTTGTACATCTCTGTTACTTTTTCCACTGGCATCAGCATGTATGGAGCGCGAATCGGGTCATTATAACGCATGCAGAGTTCTCCTCGAAGATCGTAGCTAAAAAAAAAACACAAAATACCGAGAGTATGGGAATAATAGAAACCTGCTGCAGTTGAGTTTGCATAATCAAGCCATGATTACTAAAAAAAAATCAAAGTAATAGATACCAAAAAATTTTAAATTTCCACAATGTCTGTTAGAATATTTTGTTCGTCAATGTCGACATTGTAGAAAGCCAGATATTGATCGTGCAAGACATCAGCACTTAATTACTACGTTTAGGACTGTGCAAACTTCTGTTGACACCTTAATAATGGGTGTTAGGTAACAAGCTATCGACGGTGACAAGTTCTTCTTACCAATATTCATCCCATTTTAAGTGTGTTTTGACTTGTGATTGATGATGATTAAAGCTCTGAGCTTCTTCGTTTGAACAGCTCTAACCTAAAGATAATTTATTCACGGTAAACATATTTGATGTTGGCTTTCAATTTTCATTTGGATGGAGCAATGGTTAATTTCATGTGCATGCAGCCCCCATTTTGATCACGCCGCCTAAACGAATTTCTAATATAGGACAGGTTGCCAGTCTATAGTTGCGATTTTACATTGAGGTAATAAGGTTTTTTTGTTTTTTTCCTTTACAGTGTCCCTCTTTATAAAAACAATATGTGGTTAAAGTTCACATAACTGCAAAATTATCAGCTTGGGAATTGTCAGCCACTACATAAATTTACATAATATAATATTGAGTACATGTATATTGGAACATGATAAGAATTATATTATACCGAATATCAGGACAAACATGGATTTGCTTAATGTCTTCTTCATAAGACCTTTTTACTTGATGTTCGGGGACCAATGAAGACAAAAATCAGTTTTGAATCAAGACCAAGACTGCACTGACTTACTCGATGATTGGTCGGCTGGCCTTCATGTGGAACGGGTATTGGTCTGTGGCCGCGTTCTTGTAGTCTATCGGCACGCCGCTCAGCAGTTTGTACGCCTCTGGGTGTTCGGCCTTTAACTGTCTGACAATGTTCCAGCCGTCAACGAACTGGTTCTCCCCACCTTTTCCCTTGGCTTGCTCGATGCAATGAAGAAGCTGAACCTAAAAGGTTAACATTACGAAAGGGGTTTGATTACAAAACCTCAATCCGGGTTACACGGGAGGGGCGGGGTTACACGGGAGGGGGCGGGGCTACCATATATCGAAGAGGAACTGTACACACTATCCCAAAGCAGTGTTGTGTAAATGTGATCTTTTTTGATAAATGTTAATTTTCAAAGAATATGACATGCACTGAAAAAAAGCTTGGATAAAACACTGTTGGGCAATATAATTTACCCAGAATTGGTAAGAAATTATCTCATATTGGGTTGAATTGGGTAAAAACTGTCAAAACTATTGGGAAGAATTTGCCCAAGAGTGTTGGCAGTTGATAATTTGACCAGCGTTGGTCGAATGTTCAACCCATTTTCCCCATTTTTTTTTACAGTGTGCCGACCCCGAATTAGTATAAACAACATTTTATTTTATCAGGCAAGCAACTGGAAAGTCACAAAAGAGTAAATTCCATTAAGGTTTACAAGACACACTGACGTTTAAACATTTCAAAATATGTAATGGCATACAAGAGAAGCAGAAATAAATTATAATAGGAGATCATCTGATACACTGTACCAAGAAAAGTTCAATACATGTATTAGTTTGAATGAAGAAACTGAATGAAGCGGGGCTTGAGCCCACGATATCCAGAAGACTGCGATAGCTGTTGCTCTACGAAGCAACCCTTAAGTTTGGGTCTGCCATTTTTCTCTCCATATCTTGGTTCTAACGTTGATATATAAGCAGTTGTAATGAGGTAAGGAGTAAGACCGAGCACTGAGTCATCACAAGTTGTTAGCGATGTTACGAACTTGGAAATGGCGACCACGGATCATTCGTGGAATATATGTGACTCGTTATTACAACTCGTCCAATAAATTTGGAGAAAAGGTCATCAATGGTCTTTGGGGACTTGCTGTACTATCTTTATATCAATAAACCCTAGAGCGAATTCGCATACAAAAGCAACATCTTTAGGTAAATAACACCGATAACAAAGTTTTAAAATACCCCAGATGGACTTTGCCCGGATGTCCTTAAAACGAACAATATGCACGTAGCCACGTTGTTATCTGAATAAAGTAGTGTGATTGTTTGTATTCCAAGATATCTTGAGGACAGTTGTGAGTGTTATTTGTTCGTTTGAGCTGTAAGGTGCACATCGCTGTACAAGGATCTATTGTAATGCATGCATTAACCTTAAAAAAAACCACCAAAGTCTAATACGATACATTTGCGGCCCGGCAAAAGCAATTGAAGGTTTTGGTTATTAATCGTATATCACTGTGCTTTTTGCACATGGCTATTATACAGCGTTCATCTTCAGTCGTGCTCATCTAGTAGCTCATTAGGCAATGTCTTATAAGGACAGCTGCATAACGTTTTCCAAGAAATCATGTAATGTTTACTTTTTTTCAGAACTGCACTTCGTTGCTAATATTTTGGAGTCGCTAAAACTCTCACTCACTCGGCCAAATTTACCAATTTCAACAGCATCCTCCTATACTTGTGTTCGCCATTATTAATGTGACTATATATACATCGGCAGAATTGACCTATCGCCTTTTGCGAGTTAGCCACGCCCCTTAGACAACCCTATGGATTGTGTACGTTAAGTTTTGCGCGTCCCGCGTCCATTTTGCATATCATGTAATTGGACAATATTTCACAAGCTGCGTTGATGCGATTCTAACGCGATAGGTCCATTATGGTGTACCTGACAATATACATGTATAACTCATGATCACCTTTACAACTACACTGTATTACCCCTCCCCAATTCCTGTGCTTGAAACACGAAACTAGTCTCAATTTCTGAATTTGGGGGAGGGGCGGGGTCACAGTCTTACCTCAGGAGGGCTGATGTAGTATGGCAAGTCCGTGTGGAGGACAAGGTACTTGGAGGTATAACCCAAACTACTGACGTTAGGTTTGCTCTCCACCTGCCACTCCTCTCTGTCATAAAAAAGAACGGATATCGATAATCGATATTCAATGGACCGATCCAGTAAGCACCGCCCCATGGTATTCTGACCAATCAAAGCCGTGATTTATGACCGACGTGCGTGCAGAAATGTCCGACATGCGTGCACGCGCGTATGATGTGCGCGGCAGAAAAATGCAGCGTGGCATTGAAGAGGAGCACGTGTTAATTTGCCCACGTGCGCAGTGGGCGGGGCTTACTGGATCGGTCCATTTTCACTAATCACTGTCACAAATTGTATAGGCCTACTAAATAACATGGATTGTATGTTCCAAATTTGGTCCAAAACTTGAAAACCACTACTGTTGGGTGAAGGGATACATTTTTTTCTGTTGTGTTTTTCTCTGTAAAGATCTTGAAGAAAATCAGATCCCAAAATACTTAATTAGTTAAAAAACCAACCTTCGTATTAGGTTTATGTTTGAATAAAACCTTCTAATGAAGTATCTTCTATAGGCATGGTTTGTTTGTTGTTTTCTCATTTTTTGTTGTTCACTCCTTACAATTTATGGTAGGGTATGCTCAGCCAAATCCTTTTAAAAATGACATTTTATACTCAAGTCAAAACAAAGTACATTGTAAAATGTAGTCTTGGTTGAAACTGGGACGCTTACAGTCACCTTTTTAAACATGTTGGCTTGACATGGCAAGATCATGTCCCAATGGTTTTAAACCATAAACCTGCAAATGCAACAGAATGTAACAACGGTATAAAGTTGTTGCAATTAAGTTGTTTCATTTAGCAGCCCACTCAAGTCCCCGTGCTTTGTTGCATGTTGTTGCATTCGAGGGTAACTGCTTTTGGTGCATCATGCATAGGCGATACAAGATTATCGACTGTTGCACTTGCATTTAGCAGGGTAATTGATGCCAAGGTTGGCATGCTCTCACCCTCCTGAGGACGGACAGAGCACACTGTCCGAAACGTCGAGTTCTACACTCAACCAACCGGTTCTTCAAGTTCAGAACCACACTTCTTCCAAGAAGAGATTTCTTTCCACATTACCCGCAGGCTTACTGCACAATGCAACAGAATCCACTGTCGCAATTTGATGCATTTGGCGGGGTATACTCATTTGAGTTGAGTTTGATATTGTTGCATTTAGCAGGGTACCTGAAAAATACTCGATGGGGGGTTAATAAGGTTAGGCAATGCGCATTTACCCGTAAATTGTCCTCCTGAAGAATGCAACCCTCTCAGCCAATTGACGGCAGACGCCTTTCTCCTTGGGAGCCCGTTGCACCAGTGCTATCCCGGTTGTCTGAAGGACCCTCAGCCACTCGTACAACACTTTATCGGTGCTCAGAATTGAGGCGTAGTCAAACGTGGGGATGTTGCCGTTCATCTCTGCTCCCCATACCTGGTACTCCGGATGGCTGATCGGGAAAAGTAAACATGTGTTTCATCATAACCCTCTATTGTTGTTGATAGTGCAGTGTGGTGGCCTCGTGGTTAAGGGCATTTGATTCGTGGTCTGTAGTGTGGGTAAAACTGCAGGTTGTGGGTTCCAGTCCAGCCTGGGGTCATGGTGCGTGTGCACTTGGCAAGGCACTTTGTCACTTATTGCTTCTCTCCACCCAGGAGTACATTGGTACCTGTGAGGGCATGCAGAGATGGTTATTGTGATTGAATTAGCTTCGTTGTGCCTAACATGTAGCGCCAGTCGAGCTGTACACTCCCCAGGGAGCTGAGATGGTTATTTTGAATCTTTTATGGGCCCAATGAGCTGATGTTCAGAGGCCTAAGTGTCCAGAGAAAATAACCGGTCTACATTTCAGCACGCCTCCTTGAAAAAAATTTGGATCTACCTTTGCTAGCCCCCCCCCCCCCACCCAAAAAAAATCTATTGGCTCTAGAACCGCGCCTGCCCCCGGGATTGACGCCAATGGGTGAGCGGACAAAGTTCTCTCCATTGACATCTATTAGTCTTATTATTATTATTGGAGATCAATGGTTATGTCAATGAAATGGGGACCTGAAGTCCGCTGTTACCTGATGGGGTCAATCTGGGACTCCGAGAAACGCTGGCAGTCCAGCCAGTCAGCGCGGTAGCTGCTGCGGTGCTGATCGGGCCAGACAACCTCTAACGCCCGCCCATCATCCACAACCGACTCGCTGGCCGGCAGAACCTCGGGGTCCATATCTGCCGTGAGCGTCTCCCGTTGTAGACATTCCTTGTTGTAGCATTGGCTGCACTGGCAGTTGTCCCTCAGCCAAACGTACGGATACTTCCCCGAGTAGTAGTCACTCAAGTCCGCCACATACCATTTCGCTTGGTCGTCTCTGGTAACTTTGAGGAGGCGAGGTTGTGCTTCACCGTTTGCTGCCATGATGGAATATAGTTTACCATTACAATACACACGAACATAATTGTACACAGGAGGTACATGTACATTATTTGTACAATGTATGTAAGGTGTGCATGCGATAACAACGGTATTGCGTAACACCCTGTATTAGCCCATTATGCAGCAAGATAATGTGACAAAGTGAGCCCCCCCCCCCCCCCCCGTCTTTCGTGTTGGTCATCGGGGCGGCGGAACGCTTTTTTGGGGGGGGGAGGGGGAGGGGGGGCTCAACACCAAAAAGCTGCCCTTGCTCAGGAAAAAAGGCCACATTTCATCGGTGTGACAACCCCCCCCCCCCCCCTGTCTTTCGTGTTGGTCATATCGGGGCGGCGGAACGCCTTTCAAACGGGGGGGGCAACATTTTAGTGTATGTAGTGTGTTTTCCGGTATTTAGTGTCTTTTGGTGTTTTCTGGTGTTTTCTGTTATTTAGTGTGTTTTCCGGTAGTTTTCCGGTTTTTCCCTGTGTTTTCCGGTAGTTTTCCGGTATTTTCCGGTGTTTTCCGGTATTTTCCGGTATACGGTAACACCCGCGTGGCGATACTTTCCTTGCCTTCCACCACGTCCGGTGTCCACTGCTGTGACCCAGGTTCGCCGCCTGGGCCAATAATGAATTGGGTTTTCACAGTCCCTACCTGTTTCCGTCATGTCCGTGGACTTTCCCTTCCGGGCTTTTCCTCCCACCTCTAAGACCGTGATTTCTTCTCGCTGTCTTCTCTCTAAGTTGGTGTGATCATGGGTGTGATCATGTGATGTTTCCCCGGGGCGGGATGCTCTACCGACTATGATATGCTATCTAAACAGTTATGCGAAAGTCTTTGCTAACATGTGCACGCACGCGTGTACAATACATATGTACAGTACTACATGTACTACGAACGTACATTGTACGTTTAACGTTGTGTACATGTAGTACGCGAGTAACTAGCTACTACGCAAAGCCGCCGGTGTGGCAGGTAATTCTGTCCCCCTGGTAAATGTGTTCCCCCGGACAAATTTACCGGCTTGTGACCCGGTAAATCTGTCCCCCTCCCTGGTAAATAGGTCCCCCTGCCCAACGTTGAAAGTGTCCCCCTGATAAATGTGTCCCCGTGCAAGTATCACCTATGCTATGATACGAGTCGTGTTCGTGAGCGCGCATCGCCGCAAGTACATGCTGCAAGATTTGTGGCAGCGTTTATCGCATATGTGTACATAATGTGTATCCCGCTACACAAAGGAAATTCATCCAATAGGAAATTTCGTTACGCGCTACGATGGGAACGCAGACCAATCCAAGTATCAATGAGGCGTCCACCGTAGAAAAGGGCTACACCGTACTCCGAATCGATCGAAACATTGTGTTCACATTTCACATCTAAGAAAGACCAAAAAAAAATTTTTTCATCTTCATGGAGGGCAGACTAAAGAGTAAAATATACCTTGTAGAATGAATTCATGAAAACAATATAGAGAACTGGCCTTCTGCGTTGCAAAACTAGGGGGACAAAAAAACCTGGAGGGGACAGAATTACCTGAAGGGAGACAGAATTAACGGGACGGGAGGACACTTTTACCTAGGTAATTCTGTCCCCCCCCCCGGACACTTTTAACGGGGGACAGAAGAACCATCCACACCGGCTGGCACGGCAGTGACCGGTGACCCAGAGCAGTGACCTCGCGCTGGGGGTCCATATCTGCCGTGTGTGACGTCTCTTGCTGTTGACATTCCCTGTTGTAGCATTGGCTCAATTTGACTGCACTAATGGGCGAATGTACGGATACTTCCCCAAGTAGTTGTTACTCAAGTCTGTCACGTCGCTCCGGTAACTTTGAGCACGTACGTTGAGGCATGGTTGACATGGTTGAGGAGGCGACATACTGTAAGTTCAACGTCTGCTATAATGTTTAATCATGCATAATGTATACATGTACATGTACATGTACATACATCATTGTATGCAGGAGGTGCATGTAAGTGCATTTTGTAGAACGTATGTACACGTACATGTATATCTATGGTGCACGTTGTGCATGCGATTACTACACAACGATTACGTGTTGTAGCCCAAAAAGAGGCGCGAAATCATATTGTTGTTAATTTCATAGGTGGGTGGGGGGAGGGGGAAAATGTCCCTGCCTACCCTTGAAAATGCTGGAAAGTATATGGAATTTGTGAGGAGAATTTGCTTTGCCCCCCTCTAGAAAAATTCCTGGCGACGCCCATGGGAAGGTGGAACGCTTTAAAAGGGGGCACCTAACATCGGTGTGAACCTGGAGGAAAAGAATATATTCCTCCATAATGGTTCTCCTAGGCCATTGTGTTTAAATGGTGATATTCTTTGAGCGGATTGAACAATTTCAGTATTTTTCATCTAAAAGTAGCTTATGAAATTGGCTTTCAAGACATTATAATTTTCAGTGCTACATTTTTTTTTAAATATGAAATACATTTGGGGGTTTGTTTTTTTTTTTTTTTACTCGCCCTGAACATGCATGGGTGAACTATTGCTACATCCATGCCCTGAAGTTATCAAGAGAGATACCTTTTTCATTGCGAGAGGGGCGCTGTTGCTTATTTTGATGGCCAGTTCACGTAACCATTTTTATTTTCGCGTGAGGATCTATTATTTTTAGGGGCCAGTTTTCCATCTTAAGAGGAGGCACCGTTTTTAATATGGCGAACGGGGCACGAATTTTTCTTTCGATGGGCAGTTTCGATGTGTTTCCCACACACTCACATTCCCAGTGCCCCACCCAGGCGCCCCCCCCCCCCCAAAAAAATTAAATTCATCCAAAAATAGCCACTAATGACTATTTTTGATTTCCCTTTACCGTACGGATGCGGCTGTATGAAATGTGAATGAAGTGATAAAAAGAGCGCCCTCTTGCAACTTTGATTGTTGTGTTTGTTTCTCTGGCAGGAACTGGCCTTTGAAACCTTGTTTATACATTGGCTGATACCAGTGACCGACCTTGACATGCATCAGTTTAGCACGATCCATGTACACAGGTTGTTCATTCCAGTTGACTGAACACATTTGTACACTGAAATTATATGCGGCAGAGTTATGGCGTTTGTTGCTAGTATTCATACTTTGACAAGACATGGACTCGTCCGAGGCTCTGTTCCGAGCCTCAGGCAGGGCGGGGCAGCTGTGTTAAGGGGCGGGCTTGAGGCGCGGGGTACAAAATGTGTTGGGCAACACCCCGACAGAAGGGCAGCAAGTTTGTTTTCGGTCTTTGGGCGGGACTGGTTCACTGGCGTTGGAAGAAACCTCCCCAGTAAAGTCGAGATGACAGCAGGCTGTTTCAAGCCTATCAGTAGCATCATGTCGAGGAAGGCCTACTCAACCCAGGCTGCACCGAAGGGGGAGAAGGATCGTAGGTTTGTGAGCGTGAACAGGGATGATTCGGCCGGGCAATACCGGGTGGAGTTCAGCAGTGGCCCGGTGGGCGTCTATCCCTACGTCTGGATGAGGGACAACTGCCGATGTCCTGACTGCTACCACCCTTCCTCGTGGCAGAGAGCCTCCAGCATTTCTGACTTGGACCCAGACGTGGTGCCTACTTCCGAGGAGCTGGTAGACGAGGGCAGTGTCTTGCGAGTCGTCTGGCCGGACCAGCACAGCAGCGACTTCCAGGCTGCCTGGCTGAACCGCCAGCGATTCTCGGAGTCTGAGAAAGACGAGGTGGGCAGTCCGGAGCTGCAGACATGGGGAGGAGAGCTGAACGGCAGAATCCCTACTTTCGACTTCCAGCGACTCTTAGAAGAAGACAAGGAGCTGTACAACTGGCTGGATGTCTTGAACGTCAAGGGATTGGCCTTGGTGAATGGTGCACCGATTAGGCAGGGAGCCCTCGAGGAATTGGCTGAGAAAGTTGCCTATACGAAAACGACGATTTATGGGTAAATACTTTTTTCTATGTCGTTCGACATTTTAAAGTGAATCATACTTTCTTCACTTGGAAAGGAAAACTATGCATAATAGTTTGAAGATTATTGGTCTGTTACGAAAAACTCTTCCCTACGGTGCTGCCAACATACTGCAAAAGTCACCTGGGACAATACAACCCAAAATATCAGGCGAATAATGAGAGCTAATTCATGAATATTCATTAAAGAATCCCCAGTTATCCCCTCACCTCAATTCTCCAACGAGCTTTCACTCATACTCCTTGGCCTTGTCCAAGGCCGTTGACACAGACCGACCACACATTGTTCAACATCCAATCAGTCTAAAAGTCCTCGCACAGTTTGGCCAACGAGAGTGGTTTAAACAGCAGCCTGTGCCACGCCCTCTTTGTTGGTACTTGGCATGAGCCCGCAACAAACTTCTTACGAATCTTGCCGATTTCTATTGTTATTTATTTCTTTTTGGTTGACATTTTTCAGGAAAACTTTTCAAGTTTTCAGCAAACAGGAAGCCAGCAATCTTGCGTACACACCGAAGGCACTGTTGCTTCACATAGACCTACCGTTTTATAACTACACACCAGGGGTAAGTATAACTTTGTAACTTTATATTTATTTCACTTTACAACGTATAACTTTGTAAAGTTAAAATACTTCAGGCAAATTTCAAATATTCCTGATGTATGATACTTTGACAAGTAATATCGCACTGGGTAAAAGTACAAAACACTTGGTTGCTTCACACGGACCTATACCGTTCTGTAACTACACACCAGGCGTAAGTACATGTATAATTTTGTAATAATAGGCATACCTTTATATTTAGTTTACTTTACAAAATATATCTTTGCTAAAATACTTCGAAGTTTGCCAGATGTATAACTCATTTACAAGTGATATCGCACAGGGTAAAGGTACAGAACACTTGGATGGAAATTTCCCATATCCCAGTACAATTGATCTCAAGAATGGAGTTACGTTCATCAAAACTGCTGTTTGAAAAAAATCCAATAGATTCAAATGCTACACTGCATCGAGCAAACCAGTGACGCCTCGGGGGGAGCCAGCCAGTTCGTGGACGGCCTGCAAGTAGCAGAGCAGGTCCGCCAAGAGTTCCCGGAGATGTACCAGACTCTCCGGACGCTGGAAGTGGACTTCCGAGACAAGGGCAGCGACTACCGCGTGTACCATCTCAAAAAGAGGCGGCCTATCATCCAGTAAGACAAGTCTAGCGATTAGGCCTTCATTAACCCTTCCTGTCTGCCAATCTTTTTTCTTTCAAAACCCATTCAAGGCAAAATGAAAATGTAACATTGACAGGTTAAATAATAAAAGGCAAAATAAAAAGGTCATTGGAGGTGCAGATCCTAAAATGCATGATTGTATGAGGCTTGACAATACGAAGGAGAGACAAACATATACTCTTTTGACAAGAAGCAAAGGAAACATTAAGGACTTACAAAGTTATAAATAAGGAGCTGCGAATCATTCAGCGTACAATGTACAAGATAATTGTTTTTGCTGAAATTTAAGTTTTTTCTAAAAAAAAACCAAATATGTGGTTGAAACTTTCGAGAGATTGTTACCCCACAACTCGTTTCCCACCTGACAAATTAGATCACGACTTTGGGTCAGGTGACCCCGGTAGCTCAGATTAAACTTGGTCACATGTACTGTCAGAATTGAACACGAAACAAAATTGGGCCGACCAAACCGGAGCGTTTCATTTCAGAGAAGACCGCCATTTTCAAAAATTTAACATGCATGCCACTGTAAATAACTCATACCTATTCAAACCTGTGGTTTGATAAATGGTGGTTGGATTGTTGTTCGCCTTTGTGATTATTTTCTAATGATGCATGGTTTGTGATCGAACAAACTGTTTGTATGAGTCGTCATTGGCGTCTCTGCTACAAAATCTATTCAAGTTGTCGAAGATGGTATCTCTCAATCGAACCCGAAAAAGGCCCCCAGAATCCAATAGTAAGTCCGTGTTGTTCGTTCGAGATTTCAGTGTTTATTTTCCTTCCCACTCAGGTATAACAAGTATGGCGAGTTCATGTGTGTTAACTATAATGACCACGTGAGGGCGCCATATTTGTCACTTCCGGTGGAGCAGGTCAAGGAGGTGTACAAGGCAATGAAGCTGTTCGAGGAGTTCATGTATCGCCCTGGTAACCTGGTGGAGCACCGACTGGGAGCAGGTTTGTTTATTGCCTAGTAAGGGGAAGATCAAAAATTACATTCGCTGGTCATCCGACCGCCCTATGATCTTATAGGCAGCTTGTGATAATGCCTTTCACAAACTCTTGTGGAGGAAATGCATTGTGGGTAGGTCAAGTATATACTGTGATAGATGTACAAACATTACATGCGAGCGGAAGTACCCCTCAGGTCATTGGGGTCAGAAAATCTGTCCATACAATCTGTCCTTACAAAATCTTAGCTTACGAAATTAGAGGCCACCAAGCACCATAATTATGTAGTCTATGATATTTGAGCAGATTCGCTGATTGATTAGGCAAGACCCCGCCTCTTGACCTCCTACATTTTGACCACTAAGCGGCCGCTTTCTACTATATCGGGTCTTCGGTCATTCACCCGTTGCGCGTCATAGACAATGGATAAAAAAAATGTGTCACGCACTCTGTATCATGTTACGCGACATCGCGCCCAGCTGTTGTATTACAAAACACTAGCATTCGATTGATATTGACCAATCAAACCATTTAGTCCTGATTTAGGAATGAAATGACGTCACGATTTAGTAAAGTGGACTCCGATTGGCTGGCGCGATATCAGACGTTATACGGGAGTCTTGCATGCTCCGTGGATAACGGGTGATACTCGGACTAGCTCCCATGAGCAAAGGTTGTTATTTTGCCCTCTGGTTGCGTGCGTGGCAGATAACTGATCTGGAGCGCATCGTGCGCACGCGGAGTGACCCCGGGTCACCGATGAACAAGATCTAGGCAATCAGAGGGCAAAGTAATTTAGTTGTACCGTAACCTTAGGGCCGTACCTTGTGCCGTTTTCCTACGAACTGTAAATAGACGAGATAATTTGACAAACTTTGAGATACAATGTAACTACCACAAAAGCAACATTGAAAATTGCTATATTTGAGAATCATCAGTAATCGTTGGTTGTCACGCGACATCGGCAGAACGGGGGTTAAATTCTGCTTATCTTTATATAATGTGCCAACTGCCAAGCACAGAAGATAAGGCGCAATGCAAGTTCAGCCAAACTGTCACGCGAAGCCGGAACACATCGCTTTGCAAATGACTTTCAAATCTTCCAAAATGACTTTTTGCATAGACATAGACATGATAAAAAAAATCCCCATAGACACAGTAACAAATGCTCATACGCTATGTATTACGCCGGTTACGCGATCCTGATTTGGGAATGAAATGCCGTCACGATTTAGTTAAGTCAACTCCGATTGGCTGAGGCGCGAGATCGCATAATGCTGCATGCTCCGACATGTCAGACGTTATACAGGAGACTTGGCTCCGTGGATGAAGGCGGGCGATACTCGGACTAGCTCTTTTAGTTCGTCACGATCACTTAAAAAACAACTCTTCATCACTTTATTTTCCCCCATTTACTTGCGCAGGAGAAATAGCCACTTTTAACAATGGCCGTGTGCTCCATGGTCGCAGCAGTTACACCGTGACGAAGGAGGGAAGACGCCATCTTGAAGGCGCCTACATGGACTGGGACGAGGCTCACTCGCGCATGCGCATTCTCAGGGAGACGCTTTTCGGTGACGAACCACTGTGATCATAACAAATAATTATGGTACACTCGGGAAATGTCAATTGATACGGAGAAAACAGATTGTGTGTTCTTTGGTGATTTTGACAATCATGTTCCTCAATTACATATATACATGTATATACCACATTCAACAACATGGATAAGGGATTGGAAAACTTTCGCTCGTACCCCCCCGCCCTGCAAACAGGACGCTGGGATACTCTGATGAATTCACGCTCTGATTGGTTGGATTTTGCGTGACCAGTGACCTGCGCGTCTTCAAGGCCATGACTCTGCAAGGTGTGAAACGACCGTTAAGACTGATTCATGACTCTTTTATTCCAGTTTAGAATTTTTTTTGTTTTCGTTTAAAACCATAATAAAGTAGGAAATTCTGTAAAACTTATCTGTGTTGTAAATTCACAATTCTCGTCACTTGCTCAGGCTCCGTTTCGAATCACGAACGGTCGGATTGCATTATGCGACGCTCAAAATTTTGAAACAGAAATCACATCCGGTATGGAATGCGCGCATTTCTATGGAAAGTTTTCGGATAGCATTTGCGCCTATAACTGCGGTCTTAAACGGCTGCAGCCAGATGCTTTATACATAGGCCATTGGCCACTTCCTTCGCAAGATTCTGTGAAGCTCATCAGAGTATCCCAGCGTCCTGTTTGCAGGGCGGGGGGTACGAGCGAATGGAAAACTGGGGAGATTTAGATTGCTCCATTACATGTGTATGGGGAGAATAAAGACTCTCGATGTTTATGTGTGTAAAACAATGGAGGAATAAAACGAAACTGCCCAGGGAAAAAAACCTTATATAATGAGTTTACATTTAAGAACTCCATGATTTTATACATGTATTTCCACTTTCTACTACTGTATGTACTGCCGGAAAAAGCCTCCCTTCGATCTCGAGCTATTTTATTGGTTTCTTTTTATATACAGATTCGTACCCATTATTCATGTGGTACAGTCGCAAGCTGAACGCGTGTATCTCGGATATGCAGGTCAAGTGTCGTGTATTAATTTAAACAGGACATACAAGGGTCTGTTAATTCTGTAAGAAAGGTGTTTATTGGAAGAAACTTTGAGATAAAAATGTCCCTGGATTAAGGACAAATCACAATGAATTTTACATGCAAGAAAGAGGGACTCTTTCGCTTTACAAAATTATATTGGGGTGGATAGAGCAGAGAGGACAACCGGAAATTCCGTTCACAAAAAAATAGAAACAAACCACTTTAAAGCTCGACACGTCCAGATGACACGAAGTCCAGTTTTATTTCTTAAAAGAAAAAATCAAACACATAAACATGTAACATTATTTGAGAAAAGGACAACATCTGGGTACTTCATATCACTTAAGTTAACGATAATTGTGAGATGAGTAACACATCTATCCTACCTGAAATAATGAGCAATGCTAATGTCTAGCATGAAGGATAATCACTTTGTACCAGAGTAGGGACGCCAGCCAATCCTCCCCAGCAGCCAACTGTCCCCGCCTGGCTCCCATAGGAAAGAGCATGTGTATTAACCCTAAAAGGGCCGTGAAATTTTGACCATCTCTCTCGGCCGGGGAAGGGGATGGGGATTTCGCCCCCCAAGATCTCGGCCATCGAGTGACGATGGATTTTTGAAACTCGGTACATGCATAGAGCAACTCTCCATGAACATACCCAAGAAATTTCATGACTATAGGTCAAAGGGTTTGGGAATTATGGCTAATTAATTATTCATGTACGAATGGCAATTCTGCACTGTGTACATGACGTATACGCGCCGGATTTTTTTTTACATTTTTTTGGTATCAAAAGAGGCGCAAGGCTCGAGGCTAAGAGGTCATAACAGCTCGGGTCACAGAAAAAAATTTTCAAGGTTATCATGGAAAAAGGATAAAACAGAGCCTGACGTCATTGTGTCCTGGGTCTACCAATAACAAGATGAATCACATCCAGTTTTGGCAAAACTGCCGCCTGGCTCCCATAGGAAAGCGCATGGGTAAAGAAAGCGTGGCGTCATTATGTTTTGGGTCTCAACAGGATGAATCGCACCCAATTTTGACAATATTGGCAGCGCTACCCACGTAAATTTTGAGCATACCTCACACGTTCTGTATGCAAGCTGATGAGTGCATGAGGTATGCTCGAACTTTCCAATGTAGCTCTGCCAAAGTTCCCTAGACTGGAATTGATTCATCTTTTGAATAGCGCCCTCTACCATCACAGTGGCTTGACGAAGCTCGCCAGGAATCAGAACTGGCGGCATTGAAGTGAATTGAAACTGAATCCAGACTTTGGACCACTAGGCCTTTCTTTTGTTTGTAAACATTGGTGCCATTTTGTATGGGCTGCCGTAAGCGCATAAGTTGAAGCCATGGTTGGCAACATATTTTTCAAAAAAGTCCTCATAACGCCAGCAACACAGAGTAAAAAGGCATATGTGGGAATTATTTTGTAGCTTTGTTGAAAATGTTGTATTTTCAAGTATCAAATAATATTTTGGTGATCTGTAATAACTCTTCTTCATTTTTGCAGTGTAGAATCTTCCATGGTTTTGCAGGCCGTGGTTGGCAAAAAATGTGGTTGGCAAAAATGCAGTTTGCCAATCAAGCGCAGAAAGGTCTATACGATACGTTCAGAACTCCTTGGCAATAGAGCAATGTTACCAAGTCTGTATCGAGATTCTGCTGATCAGCAGATAAGCCTTCTTTAACCCCAACCCTCCCGGGTATGTTTGCTAGAACCCTGCCAAACCCTGCAAGCTTGCCAAATGTAGAAAGATCCCATCAGACGGGACAAGTCTCAAAGCCACACTGCCTCAGGTCACTGCAAGCAGCAGGATACAACTGAGGCTTTGTTCCATGGGACTTAGCTCTCATTGTTTCAGAGCTGGCCATTCATTCACTGGTGTTGGCAGCTGATCGCATCGAAGTGCACCAAGTCTTTTCCATCTGATGCACTGTGTTGAGTCTGGCAGCACTTAAAGGTATAGTCCATCATTTGTAAAATTTGTGCATTTTGTTCGTTTGAAGCTACAAAAGTGTTCAAAATCTAATGAAGGGGGCTGAACAACTAACCTGATGAAGTTTCAGCTCAGCTTCAGCTGTATATTTCGAGAAAAAAAACATTCTAGGATCTCGATTTCAAATCAGAAGTTGCTGAATCATGTTTTGAATTGGGCCTGAATTCAGAGTCCGAGACACGTTCTCACTGAGCCGATTGCAGCTACGCGATGTCGCGTACCGATCCGACGAATTATAGCAACTGCGCGCGCGTGTGCGTCGTGTCAACGCTTGCGCGCGCTTCGCCGAATAAAAAAAACGAACTACTAACGGAAATTTCCAACAGTGCTTCTTAAGACGCACCGTTGGAAAGGCCTTCTTTCGTTGATTTCTTCAAAATGACAGCTTGCCAGAAAGAATAATTTCACAGGGAGTTTAGTCCCCTTACTATCTTTCAACCAAGTATGTTTTTCAACAATAATTACGCCAGTTACTTTTGAGATAGTTGCAAATGATGGACTCTGGCTTTAATAGGGAAATGCGCTCCAGTTGGAGGTCTGCAGGTGAGCAAGGGCTCCGTACACAAGAACTCCCTCAATGGTTGCAAAGGGAGAGTTGGGCGAGACCAATGCAAGGAGCAAATGTCCCTGCCTACCCTTGGAAAAAAATGATCAATTCGGAAAATGCTGGAAAGTATATTGTGAGGAAAATTTGCTTTGCCCCCCTCTAGAAAAATTCCTGGCGACGCCCATGGGAAGGTGGAACGCATTAAAAGGGGGCACCTAACATCGGTGTGAACCTGGAGGAAAAGAATATATTTCTCCATAATGGTCCCGTTCATTTCGCTCAGTGTCCTTCTTACGTGGTTCTTCTAGGGCCATTGTATTTAAATGGTGATATTCTTTGAACGGGTCGAACAATTTCAGTATTTTTTTATCTAAATGTAGCTTATGAAATTGGCTTTCAAGACATTATTATTTTTTGGTGCTACGTTTTTTTTCTTAAATATGAAACATATTTTTTTTTTGGAGGGGGGTGGGTTTCGCTTGTTTTTACTCGCCCTGAACTTGCATGGGCGAACTATTCCTACATCCATGCCCTGCCCTGATAAAGAGAAAGACCTTTTTCATCGCGAGAGTGGCACTGTTGCTTATTTTGATGGCCAGTTCACGTAACCATTGGTATTTTTTCGCGTGAGGATCTATTATTTTTTAGGGGCCAGTTTTCCATCTTGAGAGGCACCGTTTTTAATGTGGCGAACGGGGCACGAATTTTGCTTTCGATGGGCAGTTTCGATGGGCCTCGGGTTGGGGGTGCACGTCCCCCCTCCCTCCCCCCACACACATTCACAGTGCCCCACCCAGGCGCCCCCCCCCCCCCAAAAAAAAAAATCTGCTGATGACCATTTCTGTCCTCCGTAACCGTACGGTTGCGGCTGTATGAAATGTGAATGAATTGATAAAAAGAGCGCCCTCTGGCGTAAAAAAAACAGTCCCCCCCCCACCCACCCACACACACACACACACACACCCACACCCACACACACACCCAGACTTACGTTACATACCTTGTGTGGACATTGCTTTGTTTTCGTGTAATTAAGAAAACTCGGTACAAAAAATAACTTTACTTAAACTGTGAAAACTCTTTTAACCCAATTTTTTTTCTATGATTCCCTATAGTGTTTCTCTTCATTCTGCTACGGATAAACCTAACCCAAAAATGCCTCTAAACCTGTTTTCCAGAAAGGGCAAAACCTTATGTGGACACGGCTTAGTCCACATAAGGTTAACACAACCTGCATTATGTGGACCTCTTTTGTTCACAAGTCCACATAGGGTATGTAACACAAACTCACCCATTGCAACTTTGATTGTTGTGTTTGTTTCCCTGGCAGGAACTGGTCTTTGCTCCAGAGTGTCACTTATAGCTACTATTTTTAGTCCTAGACCTGGCGGAATTATGAAACCTTGTTTGTAGATGGGCTGATACCAATGACCGACCTCGACATGCATCAGTTAAGAACGATCCAGTACACAGGTTGTTCATGCCAATTGACTGGACCTATTTTACACTGAAATTATATGCGGCAGAGTTATGGCGTTTGTTGCTAATATTCATGCTTTGGCAAGACATGGACTTGTCCGAGGCTCTGTTGCGAGCCTCAGGCAGGGCGGGGCAGCTGTGTTAAGGGGCGGGCTTGAGGCGCGGGGTACAAAATGTGTTGGGCAACACCCCGACAGAAGGGCAGCAAG